TTTTTTCGTTTTACTTATATATATATATATATATATATATATATATATATAGTAACGTAAAATATCGTTTCTACATAACATCGCGTGATTCTTTGAAAGATGGCGGCGCTCAGTTTGGCGATAAACATCCGTGGTTTATTATCAGAACAGTTTTGGATAACAAATGTTACTAAGAATATGATTAAACCTATGTCATTAAAAACATTTTATAAATCATGCTCATCAGGAAGAATACTTAGGACTTGTAATAATGACAAAATATTTAGTTCTACCGTTAAGAGCAGAAAGTACGTAACGAAAAAGCCTTATGATATTATTACTATTAGGCTTAAAACTGATAGAAACTCTGGAATGTATTGCGTCAGACAACTACATGGTTATGTTAATAGTTTTGCTTTTGAAAAAAGCTATTTTAGAAAATTAGAAAATAATAAATGTAAGCAGAAGTGCGATAATGTTCCTGGAGAACATGACGCCAAAGCTGTAACAGCCAGAAGTGCTAAAAAATCTCTGAATTTCCAACAAAACACAAATTGGTTAACATCTTCAAGTTTATTGGCAACATGTAATGGAATGATTTTAAAACAATCACTGAGAAATTACTGTAAAAAGACTGACGATGATGATGATAACAAACCATCTAGTAATGGAAATGATGAAAAGAAGGATGATTCAGAAGCTGTTGAAGAAAAGCAAAATAATGATACTAGCACTTCAGACACAAGTTCAACAGTTATTGGGGAAATGCCACATGTAGTTCAACCTTATGGTTCATCTCCACAAGGTGGAGCATTGGCAGCTATGACAGTTCCTGAAGTGTGGCCACAGGTTCCTATTATTGCTATAAGTCGAAATCCAGTTTTTCCACGATTTATTAAAATCATTGAGGTTGGTACATTGATGGTGTTAGATATTTGGTAAAGCATGTATACATGGATAGACAAAGGTTCAAAGGCTATGCAGTTTTACCATAGTTTTGATGTGGGGTTTATTTTTGCTTAATCATTTTAAAGCTGTTTATTTATTACCTCACCTTTTATCTTGTATTGAAAGTCTCCCTTTCTTTTAGTATCAAGAATATTAGTTCAAATGCATATTTCTTGTAAGATAGCACAGATTGGTTTGATCATTTGATGTATCTATAAGGGGTAATGCTTTGGAAGATCATATGGAGACTTGTTGTATGACTGACCTTTTTTTTTTCTACTTTATAAGGATGTGGAATGGCTTCTTCAGTGATTTATGTACAGTTTCAATGTTTTGGTTTTTTTAACAAAGATTTAGATATGAGGGGCTTTATTTTAAAGTTGGACTTAAAAGATTAGTTCTCTCTATTCATACAAATTTACCACCATGAAGAAAATTGCTTATATATAAATAAAGAACTTCTTAAACTAACAAGTAATAGGAAATACACTGAAAACATAAATTCATTGAAGGAAGTAACAAATGTTATACTTAGCTCTGGTGTTGCCAAATATGTATTGTACTTTGTGACTAACAATAAATACCAGGAGCCAGAATAGTATCTCAAACCAGTTTGAGAAAAGATGGTCATCCCTGTTTTACCCTAACGATATTTAAGACTCAGTTTTTAATGTCATGTAAGATGTACACTTTACACATTAACAAAATACATACACGCTGTAATGATGTCAGTATTTAATATTTACTCCTGATCAGACAAGTTTCCAGCTTAGAGTGATGTTAGCATTATATGATATTAAGTTGAATTAACTATGAAATTTTTCATGACCTCTGCTGCATATCTTTCTATAGATACAATTAAAAGGAGTACAATGTTAAAAATAATTACACAATAAATAGCTATTAAAACAGGGACTTGCCCTAAAAAGATTCTACATATATTTCAGTGTTCTTTGACACCTTTTTTGTATTGATAAACTGCAAACACCACAAATCACAGGAAAACTTTTGAAACATTGTACCACTGACAGATTGATCATAACATTCTCAAACAATTTGCAGGCATGTACTATTTGTACAATATGATAACATATTTTTGTTTCATGTCAGATAGCTCTGATACAGCTTTCAACACTTTACCTTCCATTTGAATATGTGTTTTGGGAAAAGCGTATGGACATAGTTCTTGTGTCACTTTTGTAGCCCCAAATATGTGTGTGAAATTTTTTGTTTACAGTTCAGAGTGAGATTCTTCAATTAGCTGTAGTGGAATATTGAGTATTATTGAGTTACTGCTGGTGACAAGTTAACTTTCTTTACTATCTATGGTGTGCAACTGGTAGCTAGTCATGGTGTAGCCTCCTCTTTTTTGTCCTGCTGGTATCATAACCTTTCTTGCTTTACTGATATTATTCAATACTAATGATATATTTTCAAAGCCAAAATTTTCATGACTTACATGCTTTTATAACTGTGTAGTAGAGGGAATTTAAAAAGCTGTTCAATTCAACACTCTTAGAAAGCATAAGTTTAATGTGACACTAGCTAAATGAATTGCACTAAGAGACTCAGGATTGTGAAGTCACAGCCCTTATTGCATTTATTGCTTACTTATTTGTATTTCACGTATTGTAAGCATATGTATTCTGAAATGATACCTCATCTCTGCACATAAATAGCTTGATCCTTCATGCATCTGCATTTGAGACTTGTATGCCACTAGTCTTGAGATAACTCCCACCTAATAATCATGTGTTTAACATGAACTGCACTAGTGCTTGATGACATAACCATCCACCAATAGGAGAATGACACATCCTCCTTGCACATTAACTACCTTTAATCACTAGCATTCAAAATAGCTTCACTATCTTCCTTGTCTAGAACAGGTATGTTGTTAGATTATTAATTAATTACGTGAGATTTGCAATAGTTTAAAAACTTAAATTTTAAGTTTCTCTGGTTTCTTTTATAACTAAGGAAATACAAAATAATATTTTTTTCTGCTTTCCCATTATGAATTCTAAATGATGGTAACTTCTGCAAGGTTGTTTTGCTTTTGGGAACAGTGGCTTCCCTTATACTAATACATTCAGGCCACACACACACACATGTGCCTCTTCTAATTGAAATTGGTGCAGATGGTCATGTTGCTTTATGCCAAAATAATGCCAAACAACCAGTCAATCCAGTTGAAATTGCAAGAACAGTGGAACCTTTCTCGGGATCCGTTGTCCTTAAGTGTGCATCTCCCATCTCCTTTTTTTGAGGATTTGTCTGGTGGCTTCTCCTTGCCACCCTTATCTGTATCTCCCTCTATTTACAAACGCCTCTCTCTGTCAAGCTGAAGAGGAGCATCTCTGAATGAATACATGACTTTGACTGTGTGAACTCCAGAGAAGCATCTGCTGCATGTCAACATCCTTGAACTTCTTGCTGTCCAATGGGCATTTTCCCATTTCCTCCCTCTTCTTGTGGACTGGTTGGTCATGATCCACTCCAACATTTCCACAGTTGTTTTTTTATATCAACCATGAGGGATACCTGTTCCAGGATTCTTTGTTTTCATGCTTATTCCCATTGGGTTTATCTCACAGCTTGTTATGTGCCAGGGGTTCTAAACTTGGTGGCAGATCACCTTTTCTGGCCAGAAAGGGAATGGTCTCTCCATCCTCAATTTTTTTGTTGGGCTTGCACACTTGGGAATGCTTCTCATCAATGTTTTCACCACTCTCCACACCAGATTTCCCCTCTTCAGGTCACCAGTTCCTCATCCTTTGGCCCTGGCACTTGGTACTCTCAGCCATAACTGGTCTCACCTTTTTTCTTTATGCCTATCCTCTCTCGTGTCCTTGCTTTGATATGCTACACTCCTTGCCAGATCCTTTTCATGGCACCTCTTTCCCTGGCATAATCCTGCTTTATCAATTGGCATCCAGGCCCTCCTCTTTCTCTGGCCTGTTCCCATACTCTCTTGTTTCATCCATGTTTCTTTGCATCATATTCATTGACTGTCTCACTCTATTGTGTATCATTTTTAATGGCCCTTGGATGATATCCCTCAGGCTGGCATGTGGATGAATCTACACACATTAATCTCTCATTATCTTCATTGTATGGCTGTTTCTCCACCTGAAGAATTTTGACTCCCTCCACTTACTGTTCTTCAATAAAACTACATACCATCTTTGAGAAGGGTAAGTACACTTTCTTTTTCAGTGCCATTTTCCCTTTTCTAGAATCCTGCTAGGTGGCTAGTGTTACCTCCCCGGCTATTCTTATTTCCTAAAATCTGCATTGGGCCAGGGGTAATGTAAAGTTCTCATCCCTTTCATGCTGGCTCTTCCAGGGCCCATTGTTGAGATGCGGTGTTCTGCAAGGCCACTAGAGGTATCCTCATGGCATTGAAATTACTCACTTGTTCAGTCCAGACAATACCATTCCATAAACTATCATGGAAAAACCCAGCACCAGGAAATTTTCTGCCCACTTCCTTGAAAGTAGGGTTTTGTGGTCACCCATTGAACCTTCTCTAGTAAAAGATATTTCTTGCAGGCATCCGATGGAGATCTGGGCACTTCTCCAGGTCTCTCATCCATAACTTCAAGATGAGGTACACACCATACAGTCTAGATATGCTCTAACTACACTATATATCTTGACCTGCCACTTGTGTGCAGGTGCTCAGTTGGCCATGATCTAATCCCACCCATCCTTGTGACACTTGGCTCTTTTGTCTTTCTCTCAATTCACTTTCCAGCAAAGAGTAGACTGGTATAAACAAGATGCAGTTTCCCACAGGTGTGCCCCTATAGAACCCTTGCCATTGGATGTCACAACTCTTTAGGCTTTCCCTTTGAACACTTTCTGAAGGGAGGGAGCTCATCTAGCTTTAATGTTTTCATTGACCCCCTTCACCATTTCAGTGTGGGATTCTAGCTATTTTGTGTTATTATCCTTACCTGAAAATAGTTTTCTGATAGATACTTACCTCCATACACCTTCCCACTCATGCACTTCTGGTGCACTTTCTTCTTGTCTCATGCTTATGGGGAATTACTGTGCAAGGTGGTTGTTTCACCATCCTATTGGTGGAAGGCTATCATTATGTGATGATGTAATCATTCATGAAATTGCACTATTCACATTATACGCATGATTTGTAGGTGGGAGTTAGCCCAAGGCTAGTGGCAAGCTACTCTGTGTATGTAGGTAAATATCTATCAGAAATACATTTTCAGGTAACAAAAATTTTAACTTTAATTCATCAACAGTGCAATTCAGAATATAACAACAAAAAATTTTACTTTTTAAACAGTGCTTCATTTACACGTGGATTTTTATTTAAGGTGTTCATAAATCGCTCACTAATGTAGGTCAATAACTTAAAAGGGCTAAGAAAAGCTTTTGAGTCAGGTATATGTAGGAAGTTTTGAACTATTAGAAGGATGGAAGGGTCTTATTTTACATGTGTTCGATACAGAAGCTTTTCTCTGTACTTACTCATTTATATTCCTTATCTTATTGGTGAAAATATTTTTTTTTTCTGTAAAAGGTTTCCAACCCAGATTTGATGGAAATCATTAGAAGAAAAGTGAGGCTAAATCAACCATATGCTGGTGTGTTTATGAAAAAGGATGAGAGGTTTGGGTTTCATGAATCTTTTATTGTGATCTCTGAAATAATTTTTTTGTTTAGTAAGACTGTGTTTGTGGTGTTCCAAGATGTAATAGGAGTGTCTTATGCAAAATTAAATTTTTATTCTAATCTTTGATACTAATTATTTTTATCTAGCAAGGAATGTTTGTATGATTCAAAATCAGTCCTGTTTGGGTGTCATAAAATTTAATTCTTGTTCAAATTGCTTATAGTGAGGAATATGCAAATTTTTGTTTCAAAATCTGTTATCCTAGTGTTCAGTAAATCTAAATATTTATTCTAATCTTTGTTGGTAATTGTCTTAACGTTTTAGATGAATATATGTGCTTGTATTTTTCAATATCTTTTAATATTTAATTTTTAATATTTTCTTTGAATGTTTTTTTTTTTATCTCCTGGATGAAAGAAACAGCCAAAAGATTAATGTATTCAAGTGTAGTAATATCCTGGATCATATTTTATGGATGGGTAAATAAGTTCAGTTTGATCTAACTACCAATTAAACTTTTATATAACTTTTGGAAAATCATTTGCAAAAAATGCTGTCCATGCTCAACAGAACTGATAACTATTACCTCATACCACTACCAGAAATATTTTTGCATGTGTGCCAAGCCTTAAGCTAAACTCCCACTCCTGCACATGTTAACATGTGCTGCACCAGTATATGATGCAGTCAGAATTAGACTATAGCTCTCCAGTAATAGGAGAGCTACAGCTACATGCATAGTAGACTATATGAACATTCATTCCTTAAAAAAAGACTCATTCATTTCTTCAGCAGTGCTTTGTTCAGAAGTTTTTTTTTTGTTTTTATACTTCTTACTTTAACTTTTAGTTACAAAACTATTTGTCTTATTGTCTCTTGCTTATACTTAAGTCCAACATATATATATCTACACACACAAAAAAGGTTTCCTATAAATTAAGGAATATAAAAAAAACAAGAAAATAGTTTTTTTGATCGTCTGGATTATTGAGTTGCATATCCACCTTCTGACAACTCCCGAAATCCTGGCCCTCCAAAACAAAGATTTGTCTGCTACTACTACTACTACTACAGTAAGGATGGGAAGCACTCTGATGATCAGTTATGTTACTGCTGTTATGCATCTGGTGGTTGTTTACATTCTACTTTTTTTCATCTGAAACCTGACATACTCAATGACCTGCTTCTGTTGCTTCAACTGAACCTGTCCCATCTGCAGATGATTTTGACTAAATGTTTCCACCACCTGCTTTTTACCTCTCTTCCAACTTGGATCAGGTAATTCCACCTTTGTCCTTTGCTGCTTTGATTACACAGGTACATTATATTCTTTTTCTTGCTCCAGTTGTTTTTGCTGAATCTCGGACTACCTTACTGCATGAGCTTCCTTCTTATAGCTATCTGCTCTTCCCTCCTCCCCTCTCCTGATATTTATGTTCATGCCAATTTGTTCTCTCAGCTCCCACATCCTCTCAGGCCTCAAGATGCATTTTCCATAGCATATGGTCAAGATCCTTCTTTTTTAAATCTCTTCCTCCATCTTGGGGATCACCTATTTCCACTTCTTTATCTCTTTCTCTTGCCCTCAACCTACTTGTTTTTGTCTTTTGCTCACCCTCTTTGCTATCTGTCTGCACTTCACCTTCTTTCAAATATCTTTACTCTCAACCCCGATAGCATTACCGAGGAATTTGCATGTAGTTGTTCTCCACCTTGAGTTTGATTTATCTTCCATTGTGTCCCATTTAACTTGGTTTTCTTTGTTTTGAGGATTTACTTATCCAGAATGCCTTATTTTCTTGACTTCACCTCCCTCATATTATCTCGGGAACCTCTGTGTTGCACCAATCTCCTTAGTGAAGAGGATTTTGGGGGAGTTTCTTGTACTTTGGAACCTTGAAGTGAGGCAGCTCATCAGCAGTCATTTCAGTGCTCATTTTGTTTATTGCATTTCTCAGACAAGGATCTCTGGTTTGATTACAATTCTCACTAAACTTGCTCACCTATCTTTGTTATGACAAAGCTGATAATGCTATTTGTTACTGTCACTAATCTTGGACTGCTGTCTTAGAGGGTTGGCAACTGTTTGTCAACACCTGCCTCCATATTTCGTTTTACACACCATTATTTGAGGAATACTGTACTGATTGATTAATCAATTGTAATCAATTAATTGGAACCATCATTTATTCAATTAGTAAATATCACTAATAGATCAGCTCTAATAACCTGTTGTATAACTATTTTGTTTTTTATACAATTTAGGGTAATATTCTCAGTTAAGGAAAGAATTCTTGGATGTATACCTGAAGAAGACTGGTCTGTTTAACCCTCTGCATACAGGCTCGGTTATTTGGACTTACCTTGTAACAATGAAACTGTGCATAATATAACCCTGGATGTACTAAGTGTATTTTCATGGAATTTGGCAAGCTTTGTAAATAACAAACCAGATTTTTTAATAATGTATTTTTACTAAAGACGTCATCTTGACGGACTTAGCAGTCTGAGGTCTCAGCATTGAATGGAAAATCAATCAACAAGGATTTACAAACACCTCCTTTATCTTCTTTTTTTAACCATCTCACAACAAAGTTGATCAAATCAACCAAACTCGTAACCACTTTTATACTCCTTGTAGTTATCATACTATAACTTATAATACACTTTGTATATGTTCACAAAATTTGATAAAACTTTTAGTAAACATTACAAGTCTTTTGTACACAAGAAATCGGATTTGTTTATGAAATATATATATATAAGTATATATAGTATTTCTATACACTAGTCCGAGTGTCAAGTGATTTCCACTTTAAGATTAAAAATACTTTTCTGCGTCTCAATAATCTCAAATTTTATTTGCGTAACCTCTAAAATCTTCTAAATAAATTTCAGGTTTTTTTTTCTTTAGTAAAACTTTATATTTTATCTGTTATTTTCTCTACCCTAACTTTATACGAGGCCGGTCAATTTGACTGACCTTATAACCACCAAAAAATATTTAAATAAATCTAAATTACCCTTTTTTTTCTTTCTAGAATGACTTCAGATTGTAATATAAAACTACATTTGTTAATACTAAATAGTTTTAAACTCATAACAGTATACATGTATTTATACTTATATTTTATTGGTTTTTTCTCCTTTGAACCCTGTCTAACTACTGTTCTGGTTGTTATATGTTGTAAATTACTTGGGGAATGTGCAGCTCATATTACGTGAGCATACCCTGTGAAAAAATTTTATTATTATATATTTCATCGAATCTAACCTTAACTAACATAAAAAGTTTGCTATTTTTATATTTTAGTTACTTTTAGTATAATAACTAAAGAATACACATGAAAAACAAAAAAATTACTTGCCCAAGTCTTTTTTTTTTTTTTGTCTGTTGACTGTCAATGACACTTAACCTTACTTATTTATATTAATGGTAGTACTGCACTAAATAATTTTTTTATATAATTAATCAATGCACCAAAGAACACAGAATAATAACTTGCAAAAAGCAGACAATATCCCATAATTATCATAATTTTTTCTGCTTCCTAACTGTGTGACAAGAGCTGTTAAAATAAGCTCATCAATGTGTTTTCCTTGGAAATCAAACTTAAACTGAAAGAGAAATTTGCAATTTTATTTACTGAAAACAATGTAATATACTACATCATTTGATAGATGAAAACCTTGACTTTCTATTGGTTATAAATACTACAGCATTGAACATCAGAGAGAACTATTGGCAATTTCTAAAAGAGAGGATGTGACAGGTGGGCATGGCAAGAGATTTCTGGTTGGCAATTTCATGGCTATGTATCGAAATAGGTTGAAGGCTATGAAAATTATGCTTTGCCTGAGCAATGACGATATTATAATATGTAATTTACATTAAATTTTGTGCTTAAAAGTGTGGTAAATAAACTAGAGAAGAGGAGGTGCCTAGAGAGCAAATGTCACAATTTTAGCACTGGGGAAAATTCTAGATTTGTTTAAATATTGCCTTATAGAAATAAGAACTTAAAACTTATATACTATTAAAATATAGATTATTAGCTATGTTTTTATACTGTATTTATTGGCATACCATGACAAGAAAGTAGTTTAATTAAATTTTGAATCTACTTCACAAAACATCATGACATGCACAGAAAACGATGCCCGCTGTGAGAGGGTTAAAGGTTGTCTTGGGTAATGTGACACCCTGCAGAGACAAATTCTTGTTTTTGGAGTATCCTTATTTAGTTCTAGTCTGTTATGAAGTTGGTCATGTTCACTTGATTTTCCATAACCCATACTACTTTGGTTCTGGATTTTATTCAAACTCTACCTGATCACTTCATTCATTTGTTGTGGTCTAGATTGTTATCTTCCTGTCTGAGAGACCAACTTTTGGTAAACTTGTGATTCTTAAAATGCTCCATCTCAATGTGGGTACTCTAGCTTTTAATATTTTAAGGGTCAGTCTATGTGAATTGGATTTTACCTTTTTAAAATTAAAGTGAATTTCAAACAGGTACTTGCCTCTGAAACACATTCTCACCCACCTACCCACAACTGGAAGATATGTGATTTTCCAATTTCTGTCACAACTGATGCTATGAATAATGGATTATAGTAGGAAAGAAGAGCCCGTGTACATTCTCCTGTTGCACGTGCAATAAGTCAGTGAAAGGTGTAACTCCTAGAAAATTGATGCATGCTCTGTATTGTGTCAAGAACATTCATAACTTAACGTGTGGGTGTATGTTCGTTAGTCACACTATGGCAATATTCTTTCCCATACAGTCTAAGTAGGGCTAATACTTATTAACATTGAAAAACAAAGAAACCTTAGTTATTTGGACACAGCATTTTGATGATATTATATGCAATACAAGTTCAATCATGACAAAAAATCAACAGATTTTGAAAAATTAGAAAGTAATTTTATTTATTTTAATTAATACTCAAAACTGCAAAACAAAAATGGTGAAACAACCACTGATATTAATTTTAAATTCAACATCATTTATGTTGGTATGTTATGATAACAGAGAACATTGGCATTATTAGCTTGCACTATTGATAGTTGGCAGAACAAAGATTAAAGCAAAAAAATTTAAAATCCTTGTTTTAAGTAATCACTCAATACACAATCATATGAAAAATCTAAACAAATCTGATTATTGAGTGTATTTGTATAATTTAGTGTGACATTTTAAATTTAAAGATATAAATATCAATATAGTTCTATGACAGTTCTATAAAATGCATTAAATGTATTTTTTACCATAATACAATAAAAAATTGTCATCACAGTATTAGTATTAAATTGATCAATATTAGAATTAAAAAAAACCTAAATAGCCAATTTTACTGGAAGTCCATGAATTCAACAAAATGTGCTTATATCTGTTTTAAACTCTGAAACTCCTCTGTAAACATCCTAAGAAAAAACTCATTTTGTAATTAAAAATGCATATTTACCAATATCTGTAAGATTGAGATATTGCTTACAAATAAACCTTCAAAAATATATTCTCTATATATCAGTTCCCTAATTAATCACAAGAATGTGATTCAGTACAAGGTTCTGCTAAAATACCTTATATCACTATGATGCAGAAAAAAATAAGTCCAACTATAGAAACAGTTGCATACACTGCACAACCCATAGTTACATTATGTAAGGATTGTACAAAACAAGGCTGATAAGTTATGGCTGAAATTTATTGTTAAGGTTTTAAGATATAGTCAGTGTTGTAACAAAAGAAACTAATGAATGTATTCTAAAAATGGAAAAAAAAATGAATAAATTATAAAATTATTTTCTTACCCTCATGAAAATATGTTGAAATGCAAGAGAGCAGAAAATAATTGTTTCTGTAATAATTTAAAAAGTACTTATTGTTTACTCCTGAGATTCCAACAGAGTACAAATTAAAAGAAAGAATAAAATTTGTTTAAAATTGTCAATGTAACCTGAGAGAAATATATAAACAACTGTAAAATTAGTAGAAATAAGAATAAGTGCTCAAAAAATTTATTTCTTAGGATAACCTTCCTCAGGATTTCTGTAATTCCACTACTCAAAGGATAGTATATGTAATATAAAAATAGGTTAGGTACATTATTGAACTGTAACATTAATGTATTTTTGTGGGTCATGTGTGTTTGATTTTTATTAATACAATTCTTTCTTTTTTTCCATGATAGCTGTAAAGCTAATGCTTTCATTGGAATAACATAACAGAAATAATCCAATAAAATCTAAGCTATGAATATTTTATTTTTCTGGAGAAATAATTAAATATGTATTTTATTGTATAGTCATGAACAAAACCTGGTGGATATATTTTTATAGTACTTAAAGCTAATGAATTAAGTACTTAATATGCCAAACTCATTAAATTATTTTTTTAGAAGAAATCTTGTGATTTAAAAAGTTTACCATTGCATTTTTATGACATTTCTTGTTCATGTGTTTTCATAACAAATACTACAAACTGTATTCTTATTTTCAGTAATGAAGCAGAAGTTGTTGAAAACTTATCTGACCTGTACCATGTAGGAACATTTGTACAGATACATGAACTGCAAGATCTAGGAGATAAGCTACGCATGATTGTCATGGCATACAGAAGGTAAGCAAAAAATCAAAACAGACAGTTTTACTGGAAGTCAGTAAATTCAGCAAAATGTGATAATACCTATTCTAAACTCATAAAACTCTCTGTTTTATATATATGTAAATCTTTTGTAAAATTGGTTTTGTAATTAGAAATTCATATATACCAATATATGTAAGAATGAGATAAGATATAATAAATTACAGATTTGTGTATGTGTGGAAACATGCATACTTAAAATGCATCAAGTAAGAATAAAAGCACAGAATCTATGAATAAATAAATCAATGATTGTTCATGGCTTACTTTTTTAGTGTGATTTTGAATTTTAAAAAATTATCGAAGTTGTTTGACATAAAAATGACTAATAACAAGAAACATACATTTAGGTGATTTTTAAAGTAATAGAGGGCTACTTTATTTGTTTGTCTCATGTCTTCCATTTCTTTATTGTATATATATGCTGTGTAAATATACAGCTTCCACTAGTTGTCAGATTATAAATTACACAATAAGAATATACATTTAAGTTTCAAATGAAAGTTGTATGGGGAGGAGTGATAGATTAAGATTTCTAAATATAGTATATCCAGTCTAATTCCAACGAAATGTTACAATTGTACAAAGCATGTAATGTTTGTTAACCTTTTGAGATCATTATAAAGACAGTATTATCCTCCACAAAAATCTGCTTGTATGTACAGTGTTTCATAAACTTTGATTCTGTAGTTTACTGTGTAACCAGGGCACTACATTTTATCTAAGAATTTTCTGGAAATATCTTGGAGTTTTTCCTCTTCTGTTTCTGGACACTTCTAGAGACATTTTTATTTTGAAGTGTAGGAACCCTAGCAGATTTTTATATGCATACACGTGTGTTTTGTACACATACATGTTGATCAGAAGATACTTATAAATCATGTTACAGAAAAACATATGAACAAATTGATTCTGAAAACGTAACGAGAGTTTGCAAATTTTTAAAAATATAATTATAATTATAGAAAATAAAAACTGAGAAAAGAAAGGGTAATATAATATTTGTTGAAAATATTACTGTATCATTCTTCTCATTACCACATTTTTTACTTAATACAAATTTAAAAAATTCTACCTGCTTATAAATTGAAAATGCCTTTTATAAATGTACAACAGAACAGACTATTGAAAATTAATATTGCCTTTAAGTTTTGATGAAACTTTATGAACTCTTAGTCTATTCTCCATATAGTACAAATGGGTAATTTTTTGCCATTTAAATGTTTTCTGACTGATCCACCAAATAAGATATTATATTTTTGGGAGTTTACAGAAGATATTTGGATAACCTTACTACAAAAAAGGACATTTGTCTTACCACAGAAACTATTTGGAATTTTGTAATGTTTGACATTCATAATAAAATAAAGGAATAATGAAACAGTTTAATTTTTTAAAATTGCAAAGAGATCTCTATATCCTCAAACCCTTTCAAAAAGTGTATTTTGAAGATCACTAATGATTTTTGTGTTTTCAATATTTTTCCAGTTCTACCCAAATATCAATTACTTATTTGTTATCATTCATCACAGCAGTAATATTTAGATTGTTACATCAATGAATATCTGTGATGTTCTAATTCTTCCTATACAATATTTTAATTATGTTTTGTCCTTAAAGTTTTTTAAAACTGTAAGGCCTTCTGGTATTGTCAGTACCAACTACCTTGTTTAACAATACAAAATAGATTCACTTAACTAAAAAGTAATTCTACTAAAATGATTTGTATCCAGGCTTTTTAAAGTTTATAACAGTAACTTTTAATATTCTTGTCTCTTTGACTAGTTCCAAAGAAATCTGCAAAATATTTTCCCATTTTCATATATATTTTGTGTGTGTGCTGGTAATGTTTTATATTGTCGATGTAATTTTATTCAAGCAGTTATTCTGTTAGTTATTTAACTTTAAAAAAAATTTTGTTTTTATTCCAGAGTACGTATTCTAAAGCAGCTTTTTGAAGGTATGTATACAAGAAAATAAATAGGCATTAAATTAAGATATATATTATTGAGATTTTAACAATTTTAATGCATAATTATTACAAAATAGTGATGATCATAGAAATATATTGCAAAATCTGCTTGATAATGCAAAGTTTCTATTAAAGATAACTCTGAGAAAGAAAAAAAAAAATCCAATTCAAGCTTTATAACCTAAAAGAGGTAAAAATTAGCCATACGTCACAATTTAATTTGTTTCTTTTCTTTATGAGTTTCTCATACAAATATTAAAGAATTGCTATAGTCTTTCTGATTACCTTAATAGCTGCAGTTTCTTTTCAGTGTTTAATGTTAAAACTGGAATTTTTCTATAAAGAAACTGAAGAAGAAAAACAAAAGAAGAAACGAAGAAGACCAAGACGCCAAAATAATAGAGTAGAAGAGGAAGTCATCCAGGATGATGTAAAACATGATGAAGTTGTTGCATCGTCTCAGGTTTTATTTGCAGAAGTTGAGAATGTAGTACATGAAAAATTTGAAATGACTGAAGAAGTAAAGGTATGGCTAGAATATATATTTTTATTAGCTAATAAAGTATTTGTTCTTTCCTGTTTCAATTTTCTTTACCTCTACCATTATTAAATATTACAAAATAAAGATGCATTTAATTTGTTTTTGTTCACTAAAATTTTTGAAAAATATGATATGCTCAGAGATTTCACATTTTTTTCAACTGCATCAATTTTGAATTAATCCTATGAAAATTTCTGATTAAAGTTCTCTTTTCTAACTCAAAAATTCTCAACCAGAAAGTTTTATCTCATACTGTTAGTATTTCCAACACAAAACAGAATATATTCATATTACTAATTTGCTTTTGCCTAAATAATTTAGGAGCTTATTCCATTTGTCTTTGTTGAATTTTTCAAACTAGTTATTTTTTGTGTGTGCATAATCAGAGAGATATACAGATGTTGAATAACTTTCTCATTCTGTTTTGAGGACTAAAGATTCTGAAACCAATATTATTGTCATTTTGAAGGTAGCCAAGGAGCTCATAGGTCAAAGTTCAATGTAATTTATTTTAAAACCTTATAATTAAGAACTTTGGAAAGCAAAATACTATAAATGTGTTTGACTGATGCAAGTGCACACACACTTTCAACAAATTCAGTTGTGTCTAAAAAATTACTATATTATCACTATTTCATATGATTTTGGGGGGTTCTTTCTTACGTTGACAGCTAAGTAAACAAGACATATCTTTAGCCATGTTCCTAAAGTCAGCTAATTCTTCTACTGGTTTCATGGGTAATCCTTGACTGCTCATCCACCGACGTTTTGCTGCTACAACTCATTGCCATCATTGATGAATTGAAATCCGGAGCATCATCCGACCCAACGAAAACCAATATCCTATGCAGAGGCGGTATCTTCCTATTTATGCAGCCTATGGAACTCTGTTCCACCAGTCACATGCACTACCCCTCAATACTCTAGTAGTCTTTTTTCTATATTCCTAAGAAGAGTTTACCCTACAACCACTCCCGAAGAAATTCGACATTCAGTCAAGACAAAATACAGAACCAATCTCCACAACATCCACAGAATTCATGCAAGAACCACAGGATCACTGACACAGTTCATTAAAATCATCACATCATCCAAAAATATTGCTGATAACATTTTCACTATCGGGTATAGGACTCCGTTTCCACTTCAAAGCAGAAAAAACTCATCTAAAACAAACCCCCTCCGACCCCAGCCAGTATATTCCTGCTTTCACAACCAGTAACCAGCCATACAAATCAATCATGGTTAATCCTTTCATGCCAACCAGAAAGTCGACCCAAATCACCAAAATAGTCTTAATTTCAGATCAGATCACACAAACTGAAACCCAAGACTCTACAACTTTGACCATAGCCTTCATTTCTGCCACACAGCCAAAGCCTTACAAAAGGAAAAAAGGAACCCAAACCCTTCCACCAGTGCCCAATGATGATCATCAGTCTGTAGATTCCTCTCAACTTAATTTACCTTTCACACCTGATTTCTCCAATGACGTTTTTTTTTCCCAACCCACATACACCTCCCAGAAGAACCTTCATTGACCCATCCTGGCTTTTTAGACACACCAATGACACTCATACTCAAACCAGCTGCTCTTTTTTCTGTCGTCCTACCTCCAGTGATGACGAGGATACACCCAATCTAGCCATAAATTCTGAACCTTCTCTAAGCAAACATCCTTTCAGCCATCAGCCATTCCAGATGAGAATCCCATGGCAACTTCAAACCCTGCTAATATCATTCCGTATCTCTCCTTCCTTCCCATACTACTATGGTACTAAAATTTCTCATGTTGTTAAAATCTTTCAAAACTCGGACACTGGTCAAATAGACTTTTTGGCACCTGATCAGTGAAAGTGGGTTTTCTCTGATAACATCTAATTCTAAACATTGGAATTTTAGATCCCCCACAGCCCTGAAGGACCATATGTCCTACAAAGGCTGTTCTGTTTTGAGAAGAACTCCACAAAAGCCAAAACCTGAAATTTTAAGTTTAGCCCCTTACCTACATCAAGGGCAGGGTGAAGAGAAGATAAATAACTACTATGATTGATGACCATTTAATATTTTTAATCAGTATTGTTTATCATTGAAATCTTTACATTATCATTAAAATGCAAAGATTTTTTCCTATTCAGTGTATCTATTTGATTTTTTCTTTGTCAGTTTGGTTGGAATTATCATAGTCTGTTATTACCATTCTTTCAGAATTCTGTAAAAGGACCTTGTAGAGCTGGTAATTCCAAACATTTTATTTGAACAATTGTCTGTTCTGCTGTTTTTTCCCACCCTGTTTCAATAAAAAAGATTGACTTGGTTAATATTTGTTCTTTTAATGTAGAGTTTCAGTGCTCCAAGTTTGTGGTAACTTTTAACCTTCTAAAATTTTGGTCTTAAAAATTTCCCATCTTAACTCATACATCTTCCAGATTTTTCTTCTGTTGGCGTCTACTTCACAGATAAATCTTTCCAGCATTTTCAAGTTATAGTTGTGATCAGATCTTCCCCAAATTTCTTAAAGATGCCTATGATCTCATTTTTGGCTTCAAAACTTGGATATGACATTATACGTTTCTTATTAGAAATGTTGAAGAACTTTCCAGTCAGCTTTAGAGAAAGCATGAAGGCAAAATATTCTTCTGCTTTACTTGATACCATTTGCCTAGCATCTCTCAACTTTATTTAACTGATTGTGAGTTTTCTCTTGGCCTGTGATGAAGGGAAGTTCACCCTGGATATGGTTGTTTGGGAAGAGATCCATCAGAAGGATGAGAATGTTAATATCAGGAAAGAGTATGTCAATGTCACAGACCTTCTCATCTGAGCTGCATTAACCATACAGAGCAGAATCAGCATGTCTGCTTTCTTACTTGTTTTCAATAGTATCAGGATAGAACAGGTTGGATTTGTTAGTGTTTGTTTATGTCTCATAGTTAACAGTTAAACTCTTGTCACTCTTTGAAAACTTATGAAGCAAAACTTTTCCTAGGTATTCTTTGAGTTGGGCTTTACTATCAATGTGTGAGAATAAAGTTTAATGTTCATTAAGTCACTGAAGATAAATTTGACATGGCCCACTGCTCCTTTGCTTCACGTGTATGCTTTGAGAGATTTCACAGTACCTGTCAAAGGTTACTCTGCCTTCTTGTTATCCAACCAACTTCTTTGTAATATATAGAACAAAAGCTCTGCAATGTCATGGCATGTTGCCATCTCCAGCCCCTTTTCATGGCTTGAGGAATGTCATCGTGTCACTGATACATACCTTGTTTCTGCTCAAGGCCAGCAGAGAATTTTGTTAAACTTTTTCCATGCTTCCAGACCAATTCTTCTCAATCACACTATTAATGGAACTCCTTTCTGTTGGTATAAGAAGCAGACCATCAAAGAACAATCTTGTCTTTAATTGACTTAAAACTAGTACTTTTTAATTGTTTCTCTGAGAATAACTATAAATTTAGGACATGTTTTTTGGGCCATAAAAAATCCTTGCCAGGAACTGCCTATCCTCTTCTTACCAACTTTGCATGTGGTCTTCTTTTGCCATTTGCTGAACATCTTCAGCTTTATCTTCTTGATTAGATCTGAGATTGTCTTTTCTACCATGTCAGTCACCATTCAACATCAAACAAACTAAAAATTCAACCTGATTCTTGCCATTGCAGAAAATAATGTCCATTTTTGCTTCTTTGGGAACTACTGTAGATGAAACACAGTTCATAAACCCTGTCTTTGAAATCAAGGAATTTACACCATAGTGTTTGAGAATGCTACACTTGATATTTTTGGCATTTATGAATATTCTCATAGCTATTAATCCTATGAACTGATAGTGCATTTTAACCATAGCATAGTGGCTCATAGAATGTCTCTGAGTTTTTGTTTTTCTTTTTTGTCAAGTACAAACTTTTAGCTCATAGCTCCATCATCTCTTGACTGATTTGAGATCTAATTACAGTTTTGGACTCAGGAGGGCAAACCTTTTCAGTTGATGTATTTGACCATGCCCAAGGTCTCATAGATTAATTTATTCTAATCGTGCCTAAAATAATTCCAATTTGAGGGTAGGCTGATTTTGATGAGTAATAAAATTGAATCAGGTATGTGCATGTCCCACGCTTGGTATTACTAGCACACAAAAAATATAGCTAATAAAAAGGAAAATACCGGTCTCATAGATTCATTTACTCTAATCTTGCCTAAAAGAAGTTCAAGTGCCATGGTTATTGAGGATTCCCTCTTGTTTTATGATGATGATGGTGGATGCTTGTCGTAGCTGTCATGAAACTCAATGACAATGTGGATGAGCTTGTGTGCAATCAAGAAGAACCTATTTATCGCTACTTCATTTTCAATGATGCCAGTGACTTTGGTTGATTTGATCTCTTGCTCTGGAGTTTGATCAACAAAGAGAATAGTGAATTGGGTTCCTGATTTTGTGGTAACAAAATATTCATTATTCATACTTACAGATAGTTCGTTACTGGACAAAACTAATATCATTTTCAGATCAGTCAGACTGCTTAATCCTGGTCCTCCATTAATACACTATTTCCATCTGTGATTGTTGGACTTAAAGCTTAACTGAACAGCTACAATGCACAACACTTCAAAGTACCACTAGTTGTCACAAATGACATTCAGTATGCTTTGCTGTGTTCAGTACCAGACAGCTAGATCAATTTTAATGTAAAAAATGATAGCCTCTGAGAGTATAGGAAGCTACCGTCTTAAAAATAGCATATTTACTGGTTTTACAAATATAATATTTGGAGTTTTTAACACTAAAAACCTATGAATAGATGTATAACATTATTTTCTATGTCAAAATATGTGGAATTTTTAAGTTTTTTTGCAAGAAATTATAAAAAACTGATAAGTGAAAAGCTTTCAATTCAGTAAACCCTTGATTTCAAATCTGAAATGGAAAAGTAAAAGAAAAGCAGAAATTTGGTCTTATGTGATTTTGATCACAACCATTTTACAAAATAAGAAGAATGTAGGAATTTAAAAGGTCATCAGCAGATGCATTTTGTTGAGTAGTTGTTTTTTATATGTGAAACTTTATCAATCTTGAAATGTTTTCAAGTAAAGTGCACAAATCACAGGTTAAGTCTTTACATTGAGTTATTTGTAACTGATATTTATTGAAACAAAAACTATTTGTAAGTTGTAGCATATCTGTATATTTATTTTTGTTCAAGATAATGCTTATAATAGAATCTAATTTGTGTATGCTCTGTATTTTTCATAATTTTAGGCTTTAACCCAAGAAATAGTTAAAACCATTAGGGATATAATTGCATTGAATTCTCTGTATCGAGAGTCCATTCAACAGATGATACAAGCAGGGCAACGTGTTGTAGATAATCCTGTGTACTTGTCTGATCTAGGTAGGTTGTAAAATATAAAAATCATAATCTTATTTTCTTAGTCCAGTAAATTTTATGTGCAAACCTTTCAAGGTTTTCTCCAGCACTACATATTTTATGTGTAACAATAAATAGTACACGTTATAATTTTCCTGATTAATAAAAAAGCTCTTAGGGAACCTTGCAAAGAGGACACAAACAATGTATTATAAAATTTTTATCTTTGAATAAATTATATAGTAGATAAATAAATTATGTCTTCAACTGACTTCTTATTTGCTTACTTTATCCCTATGACTACCAGATCCTACAATTTGTAAGACCAAATGTTGCTATCATTATATTTCATTCCCAAAATAAAACTAATGGATGAAATTGTTTGAAATTTGACAAGGACCTTCCTAAAAGTATGTAGTTTCAGGAAAATAAGATATTTAATTTTTATTTTTTTTTCTACTACTAATCAAAAGTTTTTATTTAATGTAGTTATTTGCACATGGACTCTGAATAGTTCACCTGCAAGGTTATTTTCTTATTTAGTATAAAAATACTATTTGGTATTTTACAGTTTTCACATTTTGGTTGCATAATCTCTAGAACCTTGTAAATGTATATCAAAAGTTTTTGAGGTAAATGTTTATATTTTATTTTCCATTTTCTTTACTATATCACTAACTCTAGCTATTATCATCAACATACTGTGCAAAGAAATGTAGATATGTACTTACTTTTTATCTCTTCATTGAATAATATTAAAATATTATCTTATTTGGATCATATGCATAATTTCATGTTTTTACACTTTCATTTATAGTTTATTTTTAATGTTTTACTTTCCTTTCCAATTCTTTATCTTTTATTATTTATGTTAAAACATCAACTGGTTCCCACATGCCATATAACGTTATGATCAGCAGAGATGCTTTAGCCTCTGGCAAGATGTTTGAACTCTGCTATTTTTATACTCCTTTACAAGCGAGGCAACAAGTAGAAAAGCTTAAATAACCATTAAACCTTTCAAATATGAATTTCTAAACAAATAATATATAATCAACTAAAATATAAAAGTAAAACCTAAATGCAATTTAACTGTCTATCAGACTAATATGTATAAGTTGAGAAAAAATTGTCAAGCATTAGGGACACTGATCTCAACAATGGACTTAGAGGCAGTTCACTTGTCGTTTGAAAAATAATTTATCATCTACGTTTCTTTCTATACCTGGAGAGATAAATGAGAAGTCTGCTATTTCTATTGGTTATAACAATGCCATTCAAGTCTAAAAAAAGACTGTTGCTTACCAACAGGTTACTTTTGCAATGTGGGCATGGCATCTACAATAAAGGAGAAAGAATTAAGCTCTTTCTTGGAATGTTAGCCATCGTAAAAGGATACTAATGTTTACACTTCAACTTGTCTAGACTGTTGTAAAGGTACTGAGACAAAATTGAACAGAAACATAAGTAACCAAATCTAAGAAATTTCAACTGCATGTGAATCATGTGATACAAAACTGAAGTTTTGTTCATTTCAGAGGTTTCTTTCGAAATAAAGGAATAATAACTTGGACAGTATAAAACTTTATATTATAATATATTTGATAATGCTTATTTCATTAAAATACATTGACAGTAAATTGGTTTAATTAAATTTTGAATCTAACGCATTAACGCTTTGTGACATGTGCAGAAAGGTATATGACTCTCTCAACATGGGCTCAGTCAATTTGACTGACCACGTGACCTCTTTGTACTCCTTTAAAGTCTTTATAGTTTTGATGCTACTAACTTTTAATATAGTATGTATATCTTCACAAAATTTGGTACTTTCAGTAAACATTATGTCTTTCACTTACGAAAAATCATATTTTTAGTGAAGTATTTTTAATAAACTAAAAAAAAGATTTGTTTGTGAATGTATCAAGTTTTTTTTTCATGTTAAGATTAAAAATTTGAAAAATCTCAAATTTAATTTGCATAATCTCTAAATACATTTCAAAAGTTTGTTTTCAGTAAAACTTTATATTTTATCTGTTATTTTCTCTTCCCTAACTCTATACAGGGTTGGTCAATTTGACCGACCTTGTAACCACCAAATAAAATCAAAATAAATCTAGATTACCCTTTTTTCTTTCTAGTATAACTTCAAATTGTAACATGAAACTACATTTGTTTGTCCTAAGTAATTTTAAACACATAACAGTATACATCTATTTATACTTAAATTTTATCATTTTATTGTCTTTTGAACCACGTCTAACTACCACTATTCATGCCATTATAAGTTGTAAATCACTTGGGGAATGTGGAGCTCATGTTACACCATTGAATTACATTACCCATGAGCTCCTTGTATGTATGTCTCATGAAATATTTTTATAATATTATTATTTATTTTACTTATCTAATCTTAAGTAACCTAAAGAGATTCATTATTTTTTTTTTCATTTTAGTTACTTTTATAATAATAAATAAAGAATAAGTGTGAAAAACAAGAAATAAAGTACTTACCCAGGTCTTTTACTTTTTATGTCTTATTCTGATGACATTTATCCCTACTTTTTTATACTAATGGTTGTAATGCACTAAATAATTTTTATTTAATTAAATAATGCACCAAAGAACATAGAATAATAACATGCAAAAAACAGACAGTGTCCCATAACTATCATAATTTATTTGTCTTCCTAACTGTGTGAAAAGAGCCATTAAAATAAGCTCATCAATGTGTTTTCCTTGGGAATCAAACTTAAACTGAAAGAGAAATTTACAATTCTGTTTACTGAAAACAATGTAATATACTACATCATTTGATAGATGAAAACCTTGGCTTTTTATTAAAAGTTAAAAAGTGTAGCCATTGTTAAAGGGTTAAAGCACAGTGTTTATTTCATTGTATTGTTTTATTAGTTTTGAATATTTTCAAGTAATAGCTTATTCTGCTAGTTTAACACTTGAGTTACATTCCAAATTCAGTATTGTTTTGTTCTCTGGAACAAGGTTACTTAAAGTATAGATATGATGCATTTAATGTGTTAACATGCAATAGAGAACAGGATCTTTACAACATTTTAGAGTTACAGTTTTATTAGAGCTATATCAGGTCATATCAGCATAGTAACAAGGAACATCATTCAATGGAACTTTATAGGAATAGTTGGAAAAGTTTGCTTAGTGCAACTTCTATTTATCTATCTATCTATGCATCTCTACACTTTTTATTGCAAAATAATGCTTGAGTAGTTTCTTCACATTTATTAAAATGTAAGTAGTGATATTTTATGTGTTTGTGAATGTCCTTTGGTGGGTCAGCGGTATATTTATGGACTTACAATGCCATAGTCCAAGGTTCAGTTCCCTATGGTAGACACAGCAGATAGCCCAATGTGGCTTTGTGCTAAAACAAACACACAATATTTGTGAAAATACATATGAGTTAAAAGTTTATTTTCATAATAGTTAAAAACCTCGTTTAGCTATAAATGTCAAATTAATGTTTGTTACAGATTCATAAAGTATAGTATGAATAAAGTGCAAAAGAAGTAATGAAATTGAATGATTGTATACTAAATTGAACTAAACCCTTTTGCTTTAACTGTAACAACTATACACTTTTTAATTCCTGTAAATCTCTCTTAGTCACTCTTCATGTGATAGGTATAAACAAGATAGCCAAGATTTTGTATATACCTTTGATAAATAGTTTTGGAAACTTACTTAATTTAACCCTATGGTCCTCAGATTCGCTATCAGAGAGAAAGTAATGTTGCTCTCATTACACTTCATTACAAAAATAAAACTAGTGGGTGAAATTGTTTGAACTTTGATAAAAAGGCTCCTAAAAGTATGTAGTTTCAGAAAAGATTTAACCAAACAAAATTGAAGGCTATAAAAATTATGGTTTGTCTGAGCAATGACGATTTTAATTTCGTGTTACTGTAGGGATGGTGGATAAAATAGAGAATAATAGATACCTGAAGAAAATGTGTCACACTAGGGGAAATTTAGTTGTTTTTTTAAATATTGCCCTATAGAATTAAGAACTTAAAACTTATATACTATTAAAATATGGATTATTATCTAAGATTTTATGCTATACTAATTGGTATAACATAAACAAAAAAGTAGTTTAATAAAATTGTGAATGTAAGACACTAAAACCTTGTGTCATGCTTAGTAAAGTATACCCGGGGTGATATTGTTAATTGTAGCTTTCTATTTTATTGTACAAAATGTCATGATTATTATATATCAGTATTGTATAACAAGTAATGACAAACATATTTTCCAAATAGGATGTAGATTTTAGTATGAGCTCAATATTTCTAATCAGCATTTGCCTTGAAGGACTTTGTTTTTCAATCATTAAATTGCATATGAGTAATTAAAAGTGAGTAATCTTAGACTTATATTGCAAATTCTGTTTATCAACAAAATATTATATTTTGTGATTAAGGCTAATAATGTTATTGTTTGCATATATTAATTGACATTATTGCAACTGTAAACAGTGTGTTATTATCAGATAACAAAGTATTCTTTTTAACTTTCTCATACTGACAGCTAGTACTAACAAGCTCAAAATTTGAAATAATATTATCTCGTATAGTACCAGATTTCAAATGATAATATCATAGGTTAATACTATTATTGTGTGTTTTTTTATGATGATTGATTTTCCTCCTAATTAAGAAGGTATATTACTCATTACTAGTGCTTGATGCATGTTAAACTTGTATTAAAGTTTTTCTTCATTACCCATTTAAGCCGTCTCCAGCCATTATTACTCTGCATAGAAAGTTTGTTAGCAGTATGAAATAATCTAAGGTTCTAAGTATTACAAGATTATTAGTAAAAATGTTTTTTATCAATTTTACCTTTATAAGAACTTGGTAATCTTGTGTTTAATAAATGTTGTGTGATATAGGTGCAGCTTTAACGGGAGCTGAACCTCAAGAATTGCAACAAGTGTTAGAAGAAACAAATGTAAGAAGTTACATATTTGGCAGTTTTTCTGAATGATGAGAAAAGTTATTTCAAATGAAATAAATAATTTTATATTAATAAAAATAATTCTGATAAGTAATTACTAAAATACAATTTATAAAAATTGCAGTTCACCAACTTGATCACACAAAAATAGTTGTCATTCAAGCAATTAATGACATAAATAGGTCTCAACTACTACTATGTCTGTCATATTCCAACCAGTCTGATGAGCCCTGATATCGGAAACAAGGCCTCATCAGTTCTGGATGTAGCAGATATAGATAGTATGGTTGACATATTATTACATTCTTCTTTAATTACATTCTTTCTTAATTATAAGGTCTTATAAGTAAAATAAATTATTATTTTTTATTGTTGAATTAGCTTGTCAGTTTTAAGTATGCATTTGTTGCATTAAATAGTTGTAACTATTTCCAGGAAAAAATGAAACTGTCAATAAATTCTTTTTTACTGTTAATCCAAGATCATGTTGTTACATTTAGCAACCAGTAATTTTTATAACATTTCCATTAGTTAATATTTTCTAAGGCAGTAACATATCATAGCTGTTTCTTTAGCCTTTATATTCCCATGACAACTATAAGTGCAGATTATCTTATTATTCAGCAACTTGTAATGTAGGTGACTTTCACCTGTATTTACTCAAAATTCCAGTACATCTTATTACTTAGCTAATGTATTTCTCTGCAATCTTATATTTTATTGACATTGTTTTATGAAAACAACCTCCTGGTTGAAGGTTGGCCTTGTGGTAGAGCTCAGAATTTTAGATTCAGCAAGTCAGGTTCAAGTTCATGCAATAAAATATTTCTTGCACTTTAAATTATGGGTGCAAAATATAAGTCAATTTATTGGTGTGGATAGGGTGTTGTGGACTTGCCGGCCTTTCTTCTGGTCGTCAGTTGAAAAGTAGGAATTGTGAGAGATATCCTTAGTAGCCTTGCCATATATACAAAAAACGCTAAGCCTAACAATCCCACACATATGTTCAAATAATTCATTATGCTATATAAAAATTATACAAAAAATTATTATAGGAATATGGAAAAAGTCCATCTACTTGAACCACTTTCTTAATTGTCAGTTTCGGGTTTTTCAAAAATCATTCTTCTGTGACTTATAAAGAAATAATATGATATAAAGTGCTTTGTGTATATAGAAAAAAGTATGTTAATTTTGAATTTTTCTAGTAAATGCTTTCTAATCTTTCATTCCTGAGCAATTTTGTTTTTTAAAAAGAATTGTGTTTGTAGGTCAGTAAAAATGATATTCACTTGAAAAACACATTACTTAATTATAAGCATTTGATAAAAACAACATGATTAACTTTATTTTTATATGGAAATTTGTTAAATAAATTAAGTTTTTTATCTCAGGTACCAAAACGTCTTCTTCTAGCTCTGTCGCTGTTAAAGAAAGAGTTTGAATTGAGTAAACTTCAGCAGAAAATTGGAAAAGAGGTACAATATTCTTATTGTAAGAGATTCTAAGACATGCAACACTTTTGCTCAAAATTTTTCATGTGTATTTAAAAACATTTCTAAATTTGTGTGAAAAAAATTAAAAATCTTCTTTGATTGTTGTCAAGAAGCTGTTTTTCTGTTTTCCTCCTGAAACTATGGTACATTTCCTAAGAACAAGTCAAGTGAAAAACTATTTTGAACAAGTAACCTATTAGAACAATGTTTTCTCTTGTTTATGAATTATACAAAAAATGTTTATATAATCATTTTGGTTGTTTTTCAGAAACTTTGCACAAAAACTGTTGAATGACATTCTTCATTTGTTACATAACACTTAAACATTGGTGTTTGAATTTTAAAAAACCTCATTTAGATTTTTAAAGTATGATTGATGTCTGGTTATTATTATTGTGGTTTCTGGTGATGTTGTTTTTTGTTTGGTTACTGGATGTTGCCCTAAACATTTACCAAAAAGCAAATACAATATAACCTCTGGAACCTGAATATATTAAAAAAATAACATCTACTAATTATTAAGGAACATTAATTCCTTAACTTTAAACATTATTTTCGTGAAGTCCGTTGGACTAAGTAGGTCAGTTCTCACTACTTTGTTGTTGAAATTATACAGTAAAGGTTCTTTTTAATTTACAGCCACCAAACGTAAAAAAAAACTGTGTATGCTCTACAGAGTTGCTGAATTCTTGAACATTTCTGATAATAATATTTGCAACAAATCTGATAATTTCTGCATTTTTATGAAGTTCATAGCGGGGCCAGGTGGTTAGGGTGCTTAACTCGCAATCTGAGGGTTGCGGGTTCAATTCCCCGTGCCACCAAACATGCTTGCCCTTTCAGCTGTGAGGGAGTTATAATGTGAGGGTCAATCCCACTATTCATTGGTAAATGAATAGTCCAGATTTAGAGGTGGGTGGTGATAACTAGCTGCCTTCCCTCTAGTCTTTCACTGCTAAGTTAGGGACAGCTAGTGCAGATAGCCCTCATGTAGCACTGAACAGTCCATATGTCACTATTTTAGTGTTGAAATTAAATATTATATATCTGATATTATTTAGAATTAATAAAATAAATGAGAAATATTCAATTAAATTGCTTAAACTATGATTTATTGTTTACTTCATTAAAACCACCACTAGTAAACTGCTTTTAATAAATCTTTTAAACATGGGTGAGAGTTCTCTAGATCCAAATCTCTCAAAATGGCCTTTCCCAGACATGATTACAAAGCATGATCTAAATTTAATGTGAAATAAACACATTTTGTATTTTATTGCTAACACTCTTCAAATGGTTATAGGTTTAAACTTCCAATTATTTTAATTTTTACAAAGAAAAAAGTTATACTTGGTTAATTCAGTGATATGTTTTTTATGTAGCTAGTAGCAATGATAATAATAATAATATGGCATACCTATGATATTAACAATAATAATAATATAGTATATCTAAGCTAGTCACTTTGGTTTATTGTTCAGCATCATTCTCATTGGATGATTAAATTTTCAATGAAATTAGATGTTCAATTGAAGTTTTAAAAATTTTACCTAGTCTCGTGTGATTTTCAGTTGGTCCATCTAGTAACTTGACAAGCTGTAACTGATTTCTGAATTTCTTTTTTTTTTCTACAAAGTCGAGTTGAAATCTCATTCTGAAAGTTATCCAGAATGGCTCAGAATACATCTGAGAACGTGCACAGCCTTAGAGCTTTTGGATGGCTAAGCAGCTTCTCCCCCTCCCAAAACAACAACAACAAAAAACTAGCAAATAGTGTTTTTTTTCAGTCAATATGGTCATTGGGGGGTAATTTCACCCATATTTAAATTCAAAACATAAATTATATTAGATAATTAGTCTTGTGTAATGCCTCTTGCTTTTGGTCAATATTTGTTTTAAATGTTTCTGAAAAGAAAATAGTTAGAAATATAATTCAATCCCTGTGAGCTGCATTAAAAGTTAATTACTTGGAAGGAGTCTGATCACTTGATTGGTATTGTTCGACCACTAGGAAATACAGTTACTAAAAAAAAAAACATTTTTGATTTGAATCTAAGTTTACAAGATCTCGTGTTTAATGTTTATCAGGTGGAGGAGAAGGTGAAAACGCAACACAGAAAGTATATGTTGCATGAACAACTGAAGGCTATCAAGAAGGAATTGGGGCTTGAAAAAGATGATAAAGATGCTATTGCAGAAAAATTTAGACAGAAATTAAAGGTCAGTTTTGATAGAATAAAAAATGTTAAAACTAGTGAGGAAGTTAAAATAAACATTGTGGATATAGTAAATCCTTAGCTAAGATATAATATATTGGGATGATAGGGTATCTGACACACAAAAAATGTGGTTTTTGTAAAGGATGGTGAATATTATACTCACATTATTGAAATTTTCAATGTGATTAATTATGTAATATGTGAGAAATTAGATTGGATAAAAAATTAAGAGTACAAGAGAGAAAGGAAGGAAAATAATTCAATGAATTGCACATCATGACTTTGAACTTTGGCAATTTAAATATCATTGCAAGTGATTTAATATGAAATATGTATTAAAGCAAACTAATTATGTTAATTACAGGCTTTCTATCATTCATTAAAACTTGGCAGTGAAATAACAGAAACAAAATAAAATAACACATTAAAAAACAAGTGGCAAAGTTTGCTGTTATTAGGTTATATAAGTTTTGGTAAAGGTACAACCAGAGTAGCTGAGAAGAAAAAATATTTCTTTGTTATTGTAACTTTTTGGATGTTTGTTTCATGTTTTCTAAGTAAAGGCAGTTGTGAAAGTAGGCATTGCTTACAAATGGGAGTTTGTATATGTTCTTTTATAACAAAATGGATTCTCCTCTCTAAAATGTGTGTGTGTGTGTGTAAGGCATGATGTTACAAAAGCTGTGAATCTGACGAATAAAAAATAGCTACTTCAGAATTTACTCTTATCGAGAATTGTAATTGGTACTTTTTCACAACTTGTGTGTATTATATATTTATTTAGGAAATATTTTGATGTTTGATATCCTAATGATTGAATTATTCATTTCAAACTAATATATTACCCTAGAATATGTGATGAATTTTTTACTAAGAGACTATTGTTTTTCTTTTGTTTTTCTTTAAAAAAAATATTTGTTCAGTAACAAAAACAGTTATAATTAAATGCATTCAATTTGATAATTTTTGTTTTTAAGTCAGTTCTGTTGGACTAGATGGCAGCATCTATTAGCCATAATAAGGTTCATAAATATGACACACAATATAAATATATATATGTATGTATTTATATTTTAGAAATACAATGAGTTTTAATTTGTTGGCAGCATATTAAATCAGATATACTGTAAAAGGTATTAGTCATCTATCCTATGTAAAAAAAAAAAATGTTTGACAAAAGTTCCTTAAAACAAGTGTTGAAACTCAAAAAATTTCAAAATTATCAAACCAATTTCTGTGAATCCTAAGCATTAAAACTGGCCAAATATTATTGGATAATTTTTATCATAATAAGACTGGTAATATTGTTTGATGTTACATAAAATATTTTCAGTCTTAATGTAATGTAATTTTCACAGTCTGTTACTCAGTAAAATAATTGTTGCATTATGAAAAGCAGGTTATATTAATTTACATAGACTTGCATTTATTAAATAATAAAAGAATTTAGTACACTTGTGTGGCTAATCAAAACCTATCAATGACTGAACAAGTTGAATATCATTTTCAGGCCCTTAGTTAGATGAAGTTAATGTTGTGTAAACATCTAAAAGTTTAAGACAACAAAAGCATTAAAATTTATTAAGTATTTCAAAAACTAAAAATAATCATTTTAATTTCCAAGTGCATATAGTTCACTAAAACCATGCTTTGTATCTTTTAAGGAATTAATAGTCCCAGCACATGTAATGGAAGTGATTGAAGAAGAACTAAATAAGCTTGCATTTTTGGACAACCATTCTTCAGAGTTTAGGTAATATCATCATTCAACAAGTCTCTTATGTTGTTTGTACCTTCTTGTTAGGCCCAGTTGTTTTATTATATTACAACGAAGAAACATCATAACATGCTATAGTTTATTGTAATATCAGTGAATTACATTACTAACTGTAGGGTATTTCCAAAAAGATAGAAGTTTTGTAAAAAATCTGTTATCATTAGCACAATTTTTATTAGGAGAAAATGTTACTGTCTTTTTTAAAATTTACTTAGAATTTCTGATAAAGGTAAACAATTTTTGTTTTTAATTCCAAAAGTTTAATATATATATACATTATGTTTTCATTTCTAAGTTCCTATTCCTTTAACACAGTTAGAATATAACCTTAAAGTAGAACAAATTTATATGTCTCTTTCCTTGTTTGATCGTTTCCACAATCGTTATTGCCTGTGGCCAAACTATTATTAGAATGAACTTTACAGAATATTTATTTAGAGAAATATGAAAGTGAAAATTGTGAAATAAACGTATTGATTGCACTAATTAACATTTGTGTTGTTTTTATAAATATGTATCAAAAATGTTTTTAATTACAAATATTTCTAAGCTGTATTGGATTTTGTCATCACAATAACCTTGTGCAAGTTGGTATTTGAAAAGTTAAGTATTTATTTTATTAATTTTTTCCTTGTAAGTGTGACTCGTAACTACCTGGATTGGTTGACAAATATGCCATGGGGAAAGAGTAGTGAAGAAAACTTGGACCTTGAAAGAGCTAAGGAAATCTTGGAGAACGATCATTACGGAATGGAAGATGTGAAAAAACGCATCCTAGTAGGTTAAAAATGGGTTAAGTTTTTTATCATTATGGAATGGAAAATATGTAAAAAACACATCCTAGTAGGTTAAAAATGGATTCATTTTTTTATCATTATGGAATGGAAGATGTGAAAAAACACATCCTAATAGGTTAAAAATTGGTTCATTTTTTTAAACAAATTAACTTTATAGTTTGTTAGACTTTTCTAAATATAATTATCAAAAAGTATTATCTTTTGGCCATAAAGATGTAGAGATAGGATTATTACAAATGATAGATGTAACATACTAGGTTTATAATATGTAAAATGTCTTATACACTACATGGTTTCTTTAATCGTAGTACTGCTTAATGAAAATGTTAATAAAAGTGTCTCATCTTAAAAATAGTTCTTTCTCTCTTTTTGTTTTATCAGATAGCTTAGTGGTCACTTAAATTAAAATATTTTTAAAGTTATTCTGTACTTGTCTTAAAAACTGGAATAGTGAAGCTATTTTTGAGGAAGTTTATTACAAAACAAGTGTATTTTGAGTAGTTATTCTGATTTTATATATACATATAAATATATAGAGAATTGAAAATAGTTGGTTTATTAAAATGGCATCAAAAGTATAAAGGGAAATACAAAAGGCAATACTAAAATTAGATGAAAAAAGTAGTTATGCTTACCATGTCAAAACACAAGATCATACTAGCTGACAATGAAGTACAAAAGGTGTAATTTTAAAAGCAAAACACCTGCAGTAATAGTTTTCAAAAGCACTGGAGATACCCTTTCCATTAGACATAATCCAAATAATGCCAGTAGAAAAGACAGCTTGCAAGGGAAATCAAAAACAGGCTGAGGTTTAGGTATTAAATCCAACAACTTCTCAATTGCATTTATAGCTGGTTTTGGGCATTGTATTTGCCTCTGATCATAAAATTAGAGTAGAGATAGCTGTTAATAAAAACTATACATTTCTACATTTATAAACATACAATCTCCATCCATGGACTATTACAAAATAAGAATTATAAATACCTACCTGAATAGGTCAGTAATAATTAAGCACCCATCTTCCACCCTAATAAAAACCTTTTGCCTTTTAGTGTTGCATGTATGACCAGCTAACTCCTCCCACAATTCTGGAGCTAGTACGACCAAACTTGGCATGTGGACTCCAGGGTGTTGCTATCTATATGGTGTAGCTCCTCTACTAAGTGGAATTAAAATGCACCCAGAAAGTCATCTAGGTATGATGGAGCCTACAAGTTGGCTTTGAGGGTTGATGAATTGGATTTTGTTTGTGTACATCACCAGGATCCAAGGAGTGCATCATATTTAAAACTGTTTTCATACTCCTACTCACAAGCTAGCAAGGCCAAACCTTGCAGGCAGTCTCAGATACCATGGGCAAGTGTTTTGAACAGGGTTTTTTTGGGATATGGAACCCCCCTCCCCATCCTTAGAGTGGGGGGTCCATAATTTCCAAAAAATACCCTGTTACTTTTACAATTACTTCTAGAGCTTGTTTGATATACTGGGGTATTTTATGTTAGTATATTTGAATTACCAATGGGGAGTAGTAAAAAAATTAACACAATTTTGAAAGTGAAAAATTAATTTTGAGTACAAAGTACACAGACCATTCTTTACATTCTTTTTCTTTTCTTTTTTTTAAGTTGTCCCCCCAGTGGCACAGCGGTATGTCTGCGGACTTACAATTCTAGAATCCTGGTTTCGATACCTTTGGTGGGCAGAGCACAGATAGCCCTTGTGTAGCTTTGTGCATAATTAAAAACAAACAAACAAACTTTTTAAGTTAAAACCCAATTTCTGTGCTGTGAGGCATAGCTTAATAGTTAGCATACCAGACTCTGGCTTGAAGGTCAAGCCTCAATATACAACTGAATTAAACCAAATGTTTTAGCTGCTGTGGTGTTAAAACTGTGGCAGTCAAACCTGCTATTTGCTAAGAATAGCCATGCTACTGATTGGCTGCCCTCTCTTTGGTCAGATGGCTAACAAAAAGTATAACTTTTTAAGTTTTAGATAGTTTTTACTTATTTATTATATCTTAATATGATTTTTAGTGTACCTTGAAGCTTCTGTGGAATAAAAGTAATTTAGCAGTTTTAATCAATTTAGATGTAATATTCTTTAGGAGTTTATTGCTGTCAGTCATTTGAAAGGAACTACTCAAGGGAAAATGCTATGCTTTTATGGACCTCCAGGAGTTGGGAAAACAAGTATTGCTCGCTCAATTGCACGTGCTCTTAACCGAGAAGTGAGTATAATAATGTAGTTGCATAACTAATGTGTCTTCGTAATTTTTTCTCCAATTTTGTCCTTATGCCGTTAACCTTATAATGAATGCTAAAACAGTGTATAAAGTCTGTTCTAAAATTTGAGAGACGTTTCAATCAGTTATGCACATAAATGTTTTTAGTTTCTCATTTAACTTCTTCAGGAAAAGACTTTATGGTAAGAAATGAAACATTTAGAAAATGAACATATTTTTATTGTTTATGTCTTTCAGAGAAAATTGCAGGTCACACACCTTAAAAGCTAAAGTTACAATTGAACTGATCTTAAAATTATAGTAAGACTTCATTCCATGTGAAATACAACATAAACCTTCGTGTAAGAATGTTTATGGATAATCGTAATACCGATAAATGTGTATGTATATGTGGGTGCTATTATCTATGAAGGCTTATCAGGGCTTGTGAAATAATATATATAGCCAAGAAATCATTATTCTGTAACATAATGAAAAAAACCTGAGAAACTTGGTAAGATAATAGTGGGTAACTATCAAAAAGTTGAATGTTAAGCCTTTCCATAAAAACCATGGACCAGAAATAGTCACCCTTTATTTTGAAATTACAGTATTAACTTGTTTACACATCCCATAATCTTTGAATAATAATCAGATGTGAGTAGTGTATGAACTGTTTTATTATTTAGTAATTCATATGTTTGTGTGTATAGTATTTCAGGTTTAGTGTAGGAGGAATTACTGATGTCTCTGAGATCAAAGGACACAGGTAAGTGTTATAATCATTAAAAAATGTATATGTATTTTTGTAACGTAGCATGAAAACTGAGTTTTTTTTATTAAGCAGAATAAAAGTTTGAAGCTACTAGCTGCACATTAGAACTATCAACCAATCACATTTTCTACACATTTTTTCAACAGCATATAATCTAAACATTTTATATTCATTGTAAGCGATATTACAATGTAAAATTAAATTATCGTGGAACTCTTGTTTGTGTGTGTGTGTACAACAAACAATTTTAATACAAGTATTATATCAAAAGACATATAAAACAAACTGACCTTAGTTGCTTCAGATGATGAAACATGCATATCCATCATCAGAAGTGAAAAGCACAAATTACAGTTGAAGAACAATTCTAGACACCTAGAGATTTTTTATAATGTAATATGTATGTTGAATAAATAAAATGGAAAGGTGAAAGACAAAAACAAATGATATAAGTTATACATAAACATTTAGACACCTATTTACAAATGATACTTAGAAATTGTAATTATTAGTGAATACAGAGTTCTAGAATTTCTTATTAGAACTTGCAGGACCTGTGTCTTCATTTTAGAATATCATAACATATAGGCTTTATATACAAATGAGACTAAGTAATTAGTGATTACAGAGTTCTAAAGTTTTGTTGTGGATCCAAATCTCAATATAATATCATCTGAATGTGTAAATATTTCTAGTGATTGTGAAAATTACGTTAAACAGCAGTTCAGCTTTGGGCCATAATATATCATGATCTATATTTAAATTATACTCAGCTAGTGTAGACTCATAACCGTTTTTCCTTTTCAACATTACTCTGATATTCTATAATACCTACCTTTAAATTTTTTGTAGTCTGACCAATATAGTCTTTTACCACTTGAACATTGAATCTTGTAAGTGCAACATTTATCAAAAAGTCAACAGTTCTTTATGGGAAGATAAAACATATTTCATTTTTAATGGTGGTAAATAAACAGTAATAAATATTGGTGGTGTTTAGAATTGTTCTCGAACTTTAGTTTAAATTCTTCTTCTCTGATGATAGACATACATGTTTAGCTATCCAAAACGTATGTTTATGTCTCCTGACATAATACCTATTCTAAAATCCTTCATTGTACAATAAAATATTTGCACAGTAATTTAATTTTATAACTTTTGCACAAGTTGGCCATATAAAAGTTTAAATGTTACACTAGCTTGAACATTTGCACTGGCCTTGTTAGCCAGAGGTCCCAGGTTCTTGTTCCAATCCAGGAGTTTCTTTTTGATTATGAGTTTTTCACTATAATAATTAACATGTTATAACAGTATTACTGTTTCCTTATGAAATTTAATAAATAATGGTAATCCTGTGATAGACTTCTATGATATTGTCTTTTGTACCTAAAATAAGGTAGTACTCATCGTGGAAAACTTTAAAAGCGAACGACTGCAGAAATCTTTTTTTACTCTTGGCTAGCTCAGTGGTCAGAACACTGGTGTTGTTAGCTAGAGGTTCTTGATTCAAGGCCTGGTCGTAGAGTCTCTTTTTCACTTACAAGTTTGCCTTTTTTTTTTTTTTCACTTGAATATATAATATTATTTGTTATAATATAATAGTGTTACTGTTTCATGGTTTCTTTACAACATTTGCAGTAATCATTAAACAAAACAAATATTTTCAGCCTTCATTCATAAATAGTCACAGACATTGTACTTCTATATGTGTGTGGTTAATGCATGTTTTAAAACAATACTGATTAATAGCAATAACTTTCCAATTTCATTATTACAACATTGATTTATGTGGCAGACTAGGTTTGCTTATATATGTTATTCTTCCCATCTGTGGTCTTTAAGTGAAGTTGTTAAATTCAGTAGCTACAAACATTGTGTTTGTAGTTTAAACTTATTCATTTTTATGTGTATACAGGCGAACATATGTTGGTGCTATGCCTGGAAAAATGATTCAGTGTCTGAAGAAAACCAAGACAGAAAACCCTCTGGTTTTGATTGATGAGGTGAGATCTTGCTGTATTTTTAAAGCTAGTAATTACCATAAGAATGCGGTTGCAGACATGAAAAACACATGGCTTTGTTCAATGATGTTTTAACAATGTTTTTCCTGCACAAATCAACAGAAAATCTCTTAGTTTAAAAAATTTCACTTTATAGTTTTTTTGTGTTTCACAGATATCATAAAATTAATCAAATGAAAAGAAAGATGTAGATTTGAAAATTACTTTGATAAAACAAGAAGATATATCATGATAAGCCAAATGGAAATACTTTTGAAGTTTTTTTTGTTTTTTTCAAATAGTTTTTCAAGAAAATTTTGTAAATTTCCCAACCTAAAAAATGATATAAACAGTAAATAAAATAATATGAGTTTTTTAAGCAGAAACTAAATATCATTTAGAAATTTTACAGTAAATTTCATGCAGTTTGGTTAAGTATTTCCATTGTGAGAATGAAAAAAAAAACAGTTATTTTGATAAAACCCCTCCAACCTGGAAAGTACTGAGGATGCCTTGTTTTTCATACTGTATATAGATTTTTTTTATATGAAGTGCTTTTTCTATAAGCTATATTAATGCCATAGGCCTCTTGTAAATATGACTCATTTTCTCTGTCTGAAAATGAAATTTTTGATTAATTATCCTCATCTCAAGAAAGAAAACAAATTGTGAAAGGTATACTAATAGTTCTGTGTTTTTTTTTGGATTAGATAGATAAGATGGGACGTGGTTACCAAGGAGATCCATCATCAGCTTTGTTAGAAGTGTTAGATCCTGAACAGAATGCTAACTTTTTAGACCATTATTTAGATGTGAATGTTGACCTCTCCAAAGTAAGCATATTTATTTGACTTTCTAGATTTTCAACGTTAAATAATGAATACACAATTATTTTATATATTTGTATTAGTATTGTTACCAAAATGTAGTTTGTGACATCCACATAACAATATTGTCTTTCAGCCTCACAATGATAATATTTTATACATAAATTTATGCATAAAAACTACATAATGGTTGAATTGAAAGTGGTTGTTTTTTCCTGAATGACTTCTGTCCTTTATATGGTTATCCAAACTGGTCAGATAAATTCCAGCCTTAAACTAGGTCGTGTAATCAATTCAGTCCTTAAATGTAGTCTTAATATATATAAGCTTCTGTTACAAAATTAACAATTATTCAAAAATAGGTTGTTTCAAGGACATTGTTTGTAGGTATTTTTTATTCAAATACACAAGATCAACAGGTTTCTTTCAATGTGTAATAAGTTTTAAAATTTAACATCATGAGATTTAGAATTTATACAAAATACCAAATGGTTTCAAAATATCCAATTTCTTTAAACTAGCAGTTGACATCTTAATTACATTTAACTATTAAACATTGATTGTTACAATAAGTCTTGATACAGAAAACTTTTTTGCATTAGGTTCTTTGGCAATTAGCAAAACAAATTCCTAACTTGTAAAGCAAAAAAATAATAGTAGTAAATTTATCTTTTATAAGTTGGCTGTAAATTGACTGGAAACAGAAATTTAACTTGCTTTAAAATATGTGTATGTATATACATACATATTCATATATATATATTGTTATTGTTTTTGTGGTCAGTCTAAATCATGCATGAATAGTGCAAGATGTCTGTACCCAAGAAAGAAATACTAGTAGATTTAATATGTATATAATTTCTTGTATATTAAGATTCTGTTATTATAAAACAATTTCTTCATGTTTTTCAGGTTCTCTTCATTTGCACAGCTAATGTTACTGATACCATTCCAGAACCTCTGAGAGACAGAATGGAGATGATAGAAGTAGCTGGATATGTTGCCGAGGAGAAACAAGCAATAGCAGAGGTTAGTGATGGATCACGTCCGTAACAGATGGACATTATAGTAGTTAGGCATATGGCTGAAAATAAGCAGGTCAGAGCACAAGGAAACTTTCAGTAATGGATTATATCCATAATAAATGGACATTTTGGTAACTAAGCATATGGCTGAAAATAAACAGGTCAGAGCACAAGGAAACTTTCAGTAATGGATCATATCCATAATAAACGGACATTTTGGTAACTAAGCATATGGCTGAAATAAACAGGTCATAGCACAAGGAAACTTTCAGTAATGGATCATATCCATAATAAATGGACATTTTGGTAACTAAGCATATGGCTGAAAATAAACAGGTCATAGCAGAGGGGAACTGTTAGTGGAGATCGCATCTATAATAGTTAGAAGTAAAAGAAGCTAGGCATATGGCTTAACAGAGGTGAACTATAGTGATGGATCACATCCATAACACAGATAGATATCAAAATAAAGGTATATTGCTGATAAAATACATACCATAAAAAAGTGAACTTGTAGTGAGGGATCACATTCATCACAGAGATAGGTAGATATAGCTGTGCATACTTGCTGAGGAGAAACAGAACCATATGAGAAGGATTCTTCTAGTGAGGAATCACATTCATTACAGAGATAGGTAGATATGGTTAGGACTTTTGGGTGAGTTAATGTGGATGATAGCAGAGGTAAATATAGATAATTAACTCTACTCACCATATAGTAACTTGAGTAACTTTAAATAACTGACAATTTACCAAAACAGAAATAAATATTTGTAATATATTTTGATATTAAACTCCAGTCTTATTTTTGTGTTGTGTGAAATCATTGAAAATCTATTATAGAATTAATATCTGTGCACACACGCTTTTATAAGTTGTATTGCTGGGATTAGCTTCAATCAAATTGAAGCCAATACTTTAGATATTACATATAGCTTTATGATATTTTCTTAAGCCAGAATCAGATAAGTAATAACTTAAGTTGGCTTAGCATTTAGGACTATTCTGCTGTGTATTGGAAAATATCTCCTTGAATACTTGTTAGTAGACCTAATTTAGTCACTTAGAAATACTGAAGGACTAAATGTATAACCCCATGTACTGAATGAACTTTAAATCAACTTTTCAACTGTTTCATCGTAAATTTTCTTATGACATTGATTATGTCCGAAGAATTAAAACACAGTATAGAAAATAGAAAGTAGCTATTTACTAGCATAGCAAAGAATTGTGTAATTAGTTCTGAGTTATACCAAATAGTAGGAAACAAAAGCATTTCATGCATTTTTTAAAGAAGATTTTAAATACAAATTTGTATAATGTATGTCAAGTTGGTCAAGATGACATGATTCATAGGTGGGGTCCTTCAGTGGGTCAGCAGTAAGTTGACAGACTTACAATACTAAATCCGGGGTTTGATTTCCTGTGGTGGACAGAATGCAGATAGCCTCCTGTGTAGCTTTGTGGTAAAACAAACATAGATGGATTGAAGTTAAAATATTAAGATTTTTAGCTGCAGCATAGCAGCTTATAGAATGGCTCCGAGTTTGTTTTTTTTTTTCAAGTACAAACTTTTAGCTCATAGCACCATCCCTTGACTGATTTGAGATCTAATTATAGCCGTGGCTATTGAGGATTCCCTCTTGTTTTGGGGGTTTAGTAGAATAGAGGTTAATGTTTTAAATGCAAGCTTTCATTTCAGTCTGGTCCATGTATAACTAAAATTTATATTTTTCCTTCAGCGTTATTTGATTCCTCAAGCCAGGGATATGTGTGGTTTGAAAGAAGATTTAATCAGCATCTCACAAGAGACATTGCAAAAAATAATTAAATCATACTGTAGGGAGAGTGGTGTCCGGAACTTGCAGAAACACATTGAAAAGGTAAGTCAACGTAAAGTCTATATGTAATACATCTAGAATGTCATAGCGTAAACTATATGTATCTAAGAGACATTAGAAACCACTGTTCAACTGTACATTATACAATAAGGTGTTTGGTAAGTGGTGTAATCTGTTTCAATCTGCTTAAATGAAGACATTGGAAAGGTAAATCAATGTAAAGTCTATATGTAATACATCTAGAATGTCATAGTGTAAACTATGTGTACCTAAGAGACATTAGAAACCATTATTTATAGTCCAACTGTACATTATACAATAAGGTGTTTGGTAAGTGGTGTAATCTGTTTCAATCTGCTTAAATGAAGACATTGCAACTCACATTCTAATAATTCTATAATAAAAAAATAGAGAACAGTGTTTAATATGAAATAGAGCCAGAAATTAATTTGTAAAATTCTGGAAATATTTTTTATAAGTGATACAAAACATTACGAACCTTCAATGATATATAAAAAATCCCCGAGACTTCAGGCTTGGTCTTCGGTATCTGACCAATGCATAGCAAAATATTAGTGCTCACCAATCTATAGTGTGGGAAGTAATTGAGGCTGATTTTGAATTCTGTGTTTACTTTGTAAAAAGTATAACAAACTTTCTTAAGGCTTACCTCATCCATGAGAAGTGCCAAAGGCTGGACTTCAACATCTGTACCCAATTTTTAAACAAGTTCTGTCTTCATAGCTTCTTGAATGTCTTATTGATGTCCATCCCGAACACAAATATTTTTCTAAAACGTAAAAACAAATTACTTTGTTGCTTTTTATATATTCATCTTAATTTACTGATAGGTAAACATATAATTTAAAAACTTGTAACTTGTATCTTTTCAGTAAATAAATATTTAACAATTTGTCAGTAAGGTCTGCTAAGGAATCTGCAACTTCTAATTCTAAGAACCCGTGAGTGAATGCTATGTTATGATATGCCAACCTCTCACCACATCTGCCATATCCAGTGCTGACAAAGCCTTTTACCTAAGATAAGAGCTCATCAGACTGACTGGTATATGACACACACACAGTAATGGTCCAGGCACTACTTATATCATCAGTTTTCATGAACAACTTTTATTATGATGTTATTTAAGTAACTGAATCATAATTAAGTGTAATTTTTAAGTGTAAGAGTTAATAACACAACAGTATTTATTTTATCTTAATGACAATTATTTATTTATTATTATTATTATATTTTCAATAACTTTACTATCATTTGCAAAAACTGGGGAACTAGCACACTAGTTCTTTTTGGAGTCTTCTGTGTAAGTTTTTTTTTTTTTTGGATTGGTTAAATATAATATTGGTAGCTAGTAACATCTACAAAAGATCCGGCAAGTTATGAAAGATTTAACTGAACCTTTGTTTAATTCCTGCAAAAAACCCACTTACATTTAAGAAATCTAAAATATTTAGTTTAAGATTGCCAGATTAAATGTTACTTCACTTGCCACAGAGACTGTTATTGCTTAAAAAAAGTATATGAAATGGTTGAAGGAAGTTTCCAAGTTTAAATATGTGTAATGTAAGAATTAGGTTGTTCAGTGATCCAGTATGAATGACTCTCTATATTACCATCACTTAAATTAGACATGGAAATAGCATTACACTGATAGTTTAAATAAACTGATGTAAGACACTGTTTTAAAGTTTAAATAGAGTAAAACAGAGTTTTTTTTCAAAATATGTGACACAGAGGTAAGGGTATACAGATTTAATGGTTGTTTTTTATCGTGTAAATTTGCCTAACTTAAAAACGAATGTGAAATATATAAAGGAAACAGTATATTTTTACAGTTGAAACAACAGAAATGTAACATCAAGATATGTGTAGAATGGAAAGTAGTTTTTTAAAGTGGAAATGACATCAAATTGTTATCTTGAATAAGATCACAGATAATATATTTATGTGAAGGACATATTAATCTTCCATACTGTACGTCTTAGTAAAATATATTGTATAAGATATGCACATGAAGAATATGATTTAGTAGGTATGTTTTTTCCTAAAAAAAGCCCCTTGTTGATAAAACAAGAAAGCACACTACAATGAGTTGTAGTTACTAAAAGGAGTGAAATAGTGAACATGTGAATTGTTTTTAGTTTGAAAGTATTAAACAAGAAAAGTTATAGATATACTATAGTCAGTCTTTGTTCTTACTCATGCTGTTTAGATAATGCGAAAGAGTGCTTTCAAACTGGTTAACAAAGAACTCGATCGAATAGTCATAACAACGGAAAACATCATGGACTTTATTGGGAAACCTATTTTCACTCATGATCGCTTATACGATGAAACACCCCCTGGGGTTGTGATGGGTCTTGCTTGGACTTCAATGGGTAAGGCTCATTTTTGAACTTTAAGAAAAATTTGCATATGTTTTTAAGATAAATAACTACAGAGGGTTGAGTACATTATTTTAATATAGTTTCAAATATGCAAGTTACGTGACAACCATAGTGGATGTAAAGTCATGGTGGAATGGCATGTATTAGAATACATTTTGAAATTGGAAAATAAAGGAATATGGGTCAACTTGGAGGACTAGGACCATCCAGAAAGTTGCTGGCAACAAGCTTTACTCCAACTGTGGTATACAAAGGGTGGCAACTTGTAACAGACAATAAACCGTGAATGTGAAGCTCAGTAGCAACAGCCATCTCACACAACATCATGCAATATAGTCAAGAAGGATCTTCATCTGGGATGGCTACATAAGCTGCTTCCAGGTGTAAATGACAGCACGTGATCATTCTTGATGAAATTTATGTGTACCTTGATAACTGTAACATTTTCTCATGGTCATTGGGTGAAAAGCTTTCCAAAAGTGGTACACGGCATGTTGCAAAACATTGTTTATAGAGATTCATGATCATCATTGAATACTGCATAAGGGACAAGTTAGGGATCAGGAGAGTGGGTATAAAGGTCAAATGTAATTTACTTATTCTCAGATCAACATTTTTAACCCTTTATACACAGAGAAGTACCATCATACACCTCAAGCATCTAAAGAATGAAATGGATATTCCATATAAAGACATACCAGTCAAGTCACAGGATGCACTGCCTATGGATTGCAATGGAAACTACTGCAGGGCTATTGTCAAGATACCTAGTCATCAGATAGAGCCTGGCTAAATGTAGTGACATGGACTGTAATATCTTGGTGAAGCTCCAAGTTGTGTAAATGTAATGTATTCAACTCTCTGTTACAGTTAATCTGTCTAAAAGTTATATTGCAGACAGTACAAATGATGTTTTATTTATGACAGTTGGTTTGAAAAATTTTTAAACTAAAATGCTAATAATATTAATACTTCAAGTAATTAAATTTTATTATTTATTAAAAGTGAGTATCTAAGATACTAAATAAAAGACTTGAAGACTGAATATTTTGATAATAATTGTAATTATCAAATCTTTCTGAATCCTATAAAAGATTTGATATTTTTTTGCATGAGTGATGTCTCTTCTTATGGATAATTGTGACATTATATAGAGCTTGGTTCATAGTGGAACACCATGCTAGCACTTATTTTGGTAGCTATAATTGTGACATTTATATAGAGCTTGGTTCATAGTGGAACACCATGCTAGCACTAACTTTAGTAGCTATAATTGTGTCATTTATATAGAGCTTGGTTCATAGTGGAACACCCTGCTAGCACTTACTTTAGTAGCTATAATTGTGACATTTATATAGAGCTTGGTTCATTGTGGAACACCATGCTAGCACTTAATTTGGTAGCTATAATTATGACATTTATATAGAGCTTGATTCATAGTGGAACACCATGCTAGCACTTACTTTGGTAGCTATAATTGTGCCATTTATATAGAGCTTGGTTCATAGTGGAACACCATGCTAGCACTAACTTTAGTAGCTATAATTATGACATTTATATAGAGCTTGGTTCATAGTGGAACACCATGCTAGCACTAACTTTAGTAGCTATAGTTGTGACATTTATATAGAGCTTGGTTCATAGTGGAACACCATGCTAGCACTTACTTTAGTAGCTATAGTTGTGATATTTATATACAGCTTGATTCATAGTGGAACACCATGCTAGCACTTACTTTAGTAGCTATAATTGCAATAGGGAACTTTATGTAACCTATTTAACCAACAAATAAAAATCTATTTACAGCAAATTATGTTTGACATTGACCACACACGTGTGAAAATGTATAAAAAAATATCACCATTTCATGTGCATCTCCACTAGAATATTAAAATGTGAGCCAAATCACTTAATAATAAAATGAAATGTTATTTCCTTAGCATTAGCAATAACAGACACGGGGCTGGGGCTTATTTTTGAAGGTCTTCAAAGAAGAAACAAAATTCCAAAATTAATTTTTTTATAACTTCTTAAATATTGTCTTAAGCAAAAAAAAATACTCTGTCAAATTCCTGCAAACAGAAAAAATGCATGCTACATATGCCTCAGAATCAGGTGCTGAACAAAAGTATTTCCCTAACCAGGTATTCTTTTGTAAACTTAGTAAAGAAAAAGAGCAAAGTTTTTCTTAAATATTACTTTACATATCAACAGTTTTGTGAGTACATTGTGTGTAAGGGTGCAGAATGAATTTAGGCAATCCTGACTTTAAAACTCTAAAAATGTGCATTTTTTTCTAGTTCACAAAGTAACAACAAAGGCTGTTTTGCTCCCCTCACTACTCTGTTTTCCATAAGAAGTGTTAAAGTAATAAAGCTATTGAACCAAATGTAATCCTACCAACTACAATAACAATAATAATCCCTATAGGGTTATGCAACTTTAAATAATATTCCAGTGAATAAAAGGGAATGAAACATTAAGTATATTTGTTGACTTAGTGTGTGTGTGTGTGTACAACATTTTCCATAGACATGGTTCAATTTACATTTCCCTTCAGGCTCCATATGCATTGTTGGTGAAGCAAACAGCAAATCCTTACTGTATCTACTTCTTTTTTTTTCCTTTTTGCATTGTTACGCCCATAGTTCATTGGGATGCTATTATTTATGCCCTTGTAATGCACACAACTACAGCATAGGATGATCAACTGATTAGTTTTGTGATAGAAACAGTGGATAAGATATTGAAAAATACCCTTCAAAATTCTCAGTGTCACTAGCTTTTAACTTATTGTTTTAATTTTGTGCTTTGACCATTTTATTTTTAGTTAGCTAAAAAACCACTGATAGAAATATGTCATTTTTAGTTAATTTTAAACTATTGTTGAAATGATATATTGTTTTGGGGTACTTTTTTTTTTCGTGGAACTAAATACTGTACATTTAGTATTTAGTAGAGCCATTGGGTTTCAATAATTCATTTATAAACTTTTATATTGTTTCTTTAATTAAAAATATTATAACAATATTTATGAAATATAATTAAATGTACTTCCTACATTGACCTGGAGTAACGAATGGTTTTGTAGTTACAATTAGGAAGAAGTTCTACTGTGTATGTTGACTTGAAGTAAATCACATTAGGTAAGAGAGTATTATTGAATTATGTTAGGGGGTTCTACTTTATACATCGAAACTGCTCTCTGCAAGCCTTTGAAATCGGATGATAAGGCTGAAGGCTCCTTTCAGTTGACAGGTCAACTTGGTGATGTCATGAAAGAAAGTGCTACCATTGCTTTCTCCTTTGCCAAAGCTTTCATACTGAAGAAAAATCCAGAAAACGATTTTTTGCAGCATGCCCATTTGCATCTACATGTACCTGAGGTGAGGTGATAAATAAACATTTTTAAAAGTTCTGACTTTTTCTGATCAAAGTTCTAAGCAGACATCTGATTTGTTCATAGTTAATGTAGAAACTACACTTGCCTATAGTTTTTAGGTGTAATAGATTTATCATTATGTTATAAAGATGAGATGAAACACATAAAAATGGTGTCAAGTTTCCAAACTTCCATTTTCAGTTCCTGAAATCCAACTTTATATAAGTCTGTTTGTTGTTGTTTTTTTAATTGTACATTCTGAAAGAATTTTCATTATTTAGCATTAAGAAGATAGTACAAGGTAAACTGTAGACAAAATTAAAGGTTTATTTAAAACAGCTGATCTTTCAGTGATGTGAAACTTTTATTCAAAACATCTCACAGTGCTTACCTTTCAATAATGTGCATAATTTTCATGTCAATATTGTTATAAAAATGTTGTATGGATCTCTTACTTCTGGTATTTCAGATTGTTAAGTCACCTTTGTCATTGCTATTATAAGCAACTGTTTCAAAGTTTTTGTTATGAAAAAATGCAATAGATGTAATAGATTCTGTGTTCGTTAATTTAGTGTGTAAAAGCTATCAGTACGTACAAGATATTGTGTTTGAATACCTAATTAACATTAAATGACTCCCTCTCTGTTTTTTTGTGTAATACTCGGGGCACTCTTAACAGTTTGTGTCCCATTACTGCAAGTCAGGCTTATGGATATGTTATAAGAATGACTATCAATTCCCACTGTTCTTAAAATAGCCAAGTAGTTAGTGATGGGATCTGCTGACTAGCTGCTTTCCCTCTTATCTTTTTAAAATTAGTGATATCCAATACAACAGTCCTATTAACAAAATAAGATATAATTAAATTTCATATTAAGTCCTTATATGAATTTTTTTTTTTTTGAGTTTAAAAAATTCAGTATTTTGTTTTTGCTTGACACATTTTTTGTGTGGATAATTTAGGGATCCTATTGCTTTGTTGTAAATCTTCTGGTTGTGTTATGAGTTTTATTATTTATTGATTTTCTACTATAATCCTGCTCAGGGTGCTGTGCCTAAGGATGGACCTAGTGCTGGAATTACAATGGTGACTGCATTTCTGTCTCTCGCCCTGGGAAGACCAATCCGATCTGATACTGCCATGACTGGTGAAGTATCCCTTACTGGTAAGGTTCTTCCTGTTGGAGGAATCAAAGAAAAGACCATTGCTGTAAGTATTAAATCAAACTAAAAATTTTAAAAGTAATTCAAGCCGTCTTTGCATAAAGTTGAATTTACAAGGTCATTTAATTTTTTAAGGGAATAGAAATCATTGGTAATGCATGAAAAAACAATTGGTATTTATGTGGTTTGTAAATTTTTATATTCTGTTCTTTCTTTAGTGTTGGTTTCAAGGAACACTTCATCTGGTTTTTATGGCAATGTAAGCCTTGTCTTCCATGCTTTTTGCCAAATGTATATTTTGCTTTGGGGATATGGTGTCATTTCATAAAGTCATTCCTCTAGGGTGTCTCTAATGCAATACCTCAAGTGGGAATTTGTTTCTCAGTGGCATCTTATCTTCAGGTCTGTTATTTTAAGGAATTTCCCTCTTCTCCACTACTCTCAATTACCTTCAGTTTTGATTCAATTGAATGTTCATTTCTGTATGTTCCCCTTTTCTTCAACCTCACACAGATCTGCACCTTTTCACATACTGCTGTCTTGGAGAACAATCGTCTTCAGGAACCACAATGTTTTTAGATCTTTGGACAATTTAGCATTCTTTTCAGAATTTCACAGTTTTCTACAGTGATGGAGTTTGCATCATTAATCACGGATGAATTCAACTTTGCAGCCTGTGTTTCTGTGGTCTCTCTTCATCTTTGGCACCACACACACATCATACCCATCTCTGAGCCTTCAATGTGCCATATGTTATGAGCATTTTTGTTGAATCTCTTTTCATACATCATCAACTTCTCCCTACAAATGGGCTCTTCAACCCTCAGCTTTGAAATAATTGTGCCTTCAGTGTGATCATCCTCTAGTTTATACCTTTGATATAAAAGACAGTCATCCTCTTCCAGTGCTGGTCTTCGTTTCTAGGTTCTGCTTTTACAGTGATGAATACTTTGAATCAGTCATGAAAGAATCTTTTTGTTCCTCATATCTATACTTTTTTTTGTCTTTTTCATTGAAATATCAAGTTCTTTTTATTGCTTCACAATGTCCAGCTCAACCTTGGTTTCCCCTTCTGTGTCATCTGTCTTAAGGGGTTCGTTCCCTTCTGCTACCATTCTAGAGACATCTTCTATGTCCATCATCCACTTTGACTTTTATCACCTGCAGGTTCTTTTCCGGCTGTTATGTGGTCCTTTATTAAAGAAACTGGATTATCTTCTCAAGTAACTCAAATGTTATCACATTCTTGTCAATATACATCTACCAATTTGCTTCTCTTCTCCAGATTACAGAGCTGCTTTTTCTGCCATTTTTTTATGTCACAGAAGCCATCTCTCTCTCATCAATACTTTTTACTGATCTTACTTTGCTTCAAGTCCCTCAACACTACACTCATTGCTTAAATATACTTGGGTCTTGTATTACATTATCTCACTTCTCCTGTTGACCCTTTATAAACTAGCTTATTATACCATCTTTCATTGAAGATATGTTTTCTTCTGTTACTCACTTCACTAGGAGAAGATCTGACATTTATGCCCACGGTGCTTCTCGTACACTTTTTGTTGAAATGATGTATACTTATATTTTGACAGAACGTTCCTATTAAAGACCCAATACACTTATAGACCCATTCTGACAAACTTTTTTTATGTTTGATCAGAGTTTTTTTAGTACTAAATAGCACAAACATAATCTTTCAGAAGGGTCTTGAAATAGGTTGTTTTAACCTTACAACAAATCCCACCATGTGGATCATGCTCCATCCACGCTAATGAATTGGCTTGTACAGCTGATCTGTAATGTCTATCATAATATACGTGCACACCTTTAAAGTGAATTTCAGGTTACATCTAATCACATTTGCCATTTGGCAATGTCTTTGGTTTCCTTGTCTCAGTAGTCATTACAGGAATCTTACAGACCAGCATTTGAAACTTTAATTACATCATTCTGCTGCCTCATTATCTTTGTATTTCCACTTGCTCTCTGTGGTTATTCTTCAAGTCAGATGGAATCTATAGCTGGTGTGTTATTCATTTAAATGTGTATTTACCACTTGGGCCCACACCTATTTTGTGCATGGTGATCCAGGTTTTTCTGTTCCACCAAACACCAATGTGTCTGTTGTTATTCTTCAAATCAGGTGGAATCCATAAGAAGATTGGTTATTCTTTTAAATGTGTATTTATTACCACTTGGGCCCACACCAATGTTAACTATATATGTATCTCTTCTGTCTTAGGAGTTTCTGTGGTTTTACATTTTACTACAGCCAGAATTTTCATTGGTTCTTACCTCTGCATTTTACAGCCTCTCCTTCTCTTAGAAAATTCTGTGTTTATAATAGATTCATCCAGTTAGGACTCTTGCATGTTATTTAAACCTCTGCATTTCTGCTAGACACAATTCCACCCTCCGTGTTGATGCTTCATGAGAGGGTGATACTCTCTGGAAGTGAACGAAGGAGGACATTTGATAGTTGATGATGTCTTGGTGGGTACATTACATGCATATCCTTGCATAGCATTAGAGATATCTGAGGTGGTATTCCAATTTTTAGTAACTGTCTCATAGCTTCAAACTGGATGGGAAGATCTATATTTCCATTTTATTTTCATATTCCAATTGCACTGTTCTCATTTTTATCTATTCATAATTTTAACTGGGTTGCTCCCAAGAAAACTTTTCACTACCAAAGTTTGACATAAAATTTTTCATACCTGTTTATGCCACTATCTGTGCTTCCATAGTTAACTGCACAAGTGAATACGTTAATTCCTTAGCTGACCCCTTTTTCTTTGAACCGAAGAGTGTCCATGGTGAAGAGTTACTCTGCTCAGAAGATTGTTTTCCTTCTGTTTGTCCTAAGGTTCAGTTCTTTATTTAAGGCTGATCCACTCCACTGAATCCAGTTCTTCACATACTTCTGATTCTTAATTCTTCTTTAACTCTGTTTGAATGCATCTTTGGTGTGAGATAGATTATTGCCTTCCTGTTCTGTAACATATTTTTTTTTGTGGAATCTTAACTATCTCTGTTTTTCACCACCTTTTCAATGTGGATATTATGACTCACTTTTTTAGAGGTAAATTAAAATGTATTTCAAACAGGTACGTACTACTGAAATACATTTTCCATCACAACTGCAACTTAGAATTCTGATTTATGGCAGGAAATCTAAGCATACATAAGAACTCCTGACACATGCTCAGTAAGTCACTTGGAAGATGGTAGAGTGAAGAATTATGGGTAATTTGATGCATGTTTTGCATTGCCTGAAGGACTTTTGAGTCACATGGTTGTTGACAGCGTAAGAGCAACTCAACAAGGAAAGGCTTTCAGTGTTTCAGGGGTTAGTACCTGTTGAAGATCATATAAATCCTAAAAATGTAAAAAACAAGTGTGGTTGTTTTTTCTCTCTAATATCAAAGGCATCCATTTGAATTTACAATGGTAAACAAAATAAGTGCATTAACTGAGAAGACTGAATTCCATAATTTCGATAAACAAAAATTTGCTTTTTTTTATGCATATCATTAAAATTATTGATATAAAACAGCATCAACAGTCCCCTGGTGGGACAGCAGTAAGTCTATGGACTTGCAATGCTGAAATCCAAGGTTCGATTCCACACAGTGGACACAGCATATATCCCTATATGGCTTTGCTCTTAAAAAAACACCACCAATTTATATCAAAAACTTGCTTGAATTATTAATTATTTTGCACGTTAATATACTGATATACAGAGATGAAAAAATGCATATGATAAAGAAAAGTAAACGAAAATGAAAACTTGTTTAGTAAACACTTTGATTTATTCTTTCACTAGGCACGTCGTGCTGGAGTCAGTTGTCTCATCCTCCCTGAAGAGAACAAAAAAGACTATGATGATTTACCTAAATTCATTACAGAAGGATTGGAGATTCACTTTGTTGGGAATTACAGTGAAGTATTTGACATCATATTCACATCGTGAAGATAATGTTGGTTATTCCTCAGCTGGAGATGATTGACAAAATCTTGTTCATGATAATTGACTACCTTTTGTTTGAAATATATATTCCTTAAATTTTTCTTAAATCACAATTAAAACGAAGAGGAGGTCTTCTGTAGTGTAATTGCTCTTCGAAAGCGTAAATGAAACATCACCACAAAAGTGATTTCAGGAGCATAAATATTACTATCATGTGTTTGTATTTCATTAGAGAAGACAGCATTGTGCTCTAAGAAACTAATAACTGATGTTGTAAACTTAATAAATAAGGAATTTATTTCTTAAAGGTTTCCACAGAGTTTGATCAAAGATTAAAGAAGAAGAATAACTGTGTTTATCAGGTTCATTGTATGAAGTATTTCATGTAATTTTGCTAGAAAAAAGTAGGAGGATTAAAAATATGTTCAGAAAAACATCCTGTTTTCTTCAAATACGTGTTAGATAAACATGGGTGTTTTTATCATTTAAAAGTTTTAACTTGATATTTAATAATAACAAAATTATTGTACCATATATTTAACCTAAGTGCAAAAAACAGGGAAATTTTTTTAGTTAGTACAGTAAACTAATCAGGGTTGGAAAAAAAGCTTTCTTTAGTTCTTCATAAATGAAATCACTAAGTTTAAAATTATTACCTCGACTAACATAATAACCAGCAAGTTAACATACAGTATATTGGATACATACTTTTTAAAAGCTATAAAACAATTTTATCTTGCAATTTTATAAGTCATAAGATATTTTTATTTGTTATATTAATTATGGAAGAGAAGAAAAGATTGAAAGCTACTATTCTGTAAAAATGTTTTTATGCACAACAGTACAATATACATAAAATATGATTTTAATGTGAAGCACAGGGTAGCAGAATGTTCTAAATATTTGGGACGAAAGCAATGGCACTGTGAGTTACAGTAAGAACATGTTTGTAAAATAAAACTACTGAAGCATAAAAATTATGTGCAGGTCACTATAGTTACCCAAATTTTCAGGATACACACCATTAACTTCAGGATTCTTTACAAGCTACTAATTTCTGGAGATGGGAAACATACATCTTGTTTCATAATAAATAAAACATGCTTTGTGTTAACTTAATGTTGAAATATGTATTTTATAACCCACACACACTACAATGAATAAACCAATGACTTACAGAGATCCTTGGTTTACCATACCAGCTATAGATGTTAAAGCTTTACCCCACCCCCCATCTCCTACTCAGTAGCTCAGTGGTAAGTCTGAGGGACTCTGATGCTAAATAGTGGATTTCAATACCTGTGGTGGGCATTGCACAGATAGCCCATTGTGTAGCTTTGTGCTTAACAACAAAATAAACAAACAGAAAGCTAGTGTTTTGGTAAACTGAGTTTGTCATGTTTAAAATAGTTTTTCTACTAAGTACAGTAGTAACAAGACAAAAACAAGATGGTGTCATCCTACTCTAAATGTGTTGTGTTTCTTTAGCTCATTTTATATTTAATTTGGTAGATTAAAATAACATAAAACGTGTACAAGAAAGGATGAAATTGATTGAAATAAAGCTTTAAGAAATGTTATTTTCACCATGTAGAAATGGTGTATTAACAACAGTGATATTTTATGTAAAATTGGATAAGATCATCCTAATTTCTAGTAGGTAACTCTATTTGGCAAGACCTGGTGTTTACTCAAATTTGGAATATTCTTGTTTTCTTTTTATAAAAGTAAAATTTCATTTTTGAGCGAAATATTCATTTGTTGGCTAAATATTTTGATCCATATTTGCATATGTGATGCATCTTCATTAGGTTTATTTACATAACTCACATTTCACTGTTTCATGCTTTTATTTCAATTCAACATGATTACAACAGCTTAATAGAGAACTTATAAATAAATATTATTTTTGTTTAAAAACAAACTCTTTCAAATTAACAGGCATTTTATGTTGGTAAGGAAAGAGAAATACTTATTTTTTCAGGTATGTAGAAACAATCATTGTGAAAATCATGTGAAACAAACTTTTAAAATATTTCTTCTTATTGTTTAAAAATTATTCTAATTTATTTTCAGATTTCATTTCATTTTTACCTCAACAGTATTTTCCATGAAAAGCTAAATGTTATATATTTACAACAAAGAAACTTAATATTTTAAAACCTTATTTCTTAAATACCAGACTTTCAGGAACCTGCAGGTGGCATCATAAAATATATATATATATATATATATAATATGTACTTGAAACTGTTAAATCTTTCAGTAAAATAAAAAAAAATGTAATTTAAAAACGTACATGTTGTGAAGTAACAAAATCTGTGTGGTACAATAACTTTGCATTGATAAAATTGGTTATGCGTGGTTCCTTGTTGGATAAATTATAAAACATTAAGCAAAGGCAAGTTTCTCACTAACTGATAAGTAAATACTTTTATTTTAAATTATGCCCCTTCACTTTTTTGTAAGTCTCTGCTGAGTTTCTGATGCAGGTTTTGGGTAGGCATTGTAATCAAGTACTACTGTGTCTCAGTCTGAGAAATGTTGAGAATCACTGTTTTACAAGATAATGGCAAGGAAGGTATTAATTACTATACAAATACTTTAGAATTATTTAGCAATAAAAGAAACTAAAAATTACATGTACATACTAGTTAAAATTGTAAGTGCATCCTAGAAAACACAGCTGTGTAAAAATATCCTTTGTATATGTTACTATTTAGTGCAATTGTTGTTTGGGTAATTTTTTAAAAATTTGGATGTAATTAATATTTGTAATGTCCCAGTAGGAACTGGAATCCAAGACTGAATGTATACATGATATTTAAAGGAATCCAAGGCTGAATGTATACATATTTAAAGGAATCCAAGACTGAATGTATACATGATATTTAAAGGAATCCAAGACTGAATGTATACATATTTAAAGGAATCCAAGACTGAATGTATACATGATATTTAAAGGAATCCAAGGCTGAATGTATACATGATATTTAAAGGAATCCAAGACTGAATGTATACATGATATTTAAAGGAATCCAAGACTGAATGTATACATGATATTTAAAGGAATCCAAGACTGAATGTATACATGATATTTAAAAGAATCCAAGACTGAATGTATACATGATATTTAAAGGAATCCAAGACTGAATGTATACATGATATTTAAAGGAATCCAAGACTGAATGTATACATAATATTTAAAAGAATCCAAGACTGAATGTATACATATTTAAAGGAATCTAAGGCTAAATGTATACATGATATTTAAATATTTGATTAATGCACAGGCAAAAGAACAGTTAACAAATACTAAAGATTTGAGATTCAAACTGTATATGTTTGTAATCATACTTTGAAAAACTAATCATGTCACTAACTTATATCTGACCAAATTAAGATCTTTTTACCTTTAATAAATAGTATTTACACTTTAAAAATGTGGATTTCTCAACCTTGGGTATATTTTTGGCACCCATTCTTAGCACTGAGGATATCCCCCAATGAGTCAGTGGTAAGTTTACAGACTTACAATGCTAAAATTCAGTGTTTGATTCCTCATTGAAGACAAAATGCAGAAAGCCCATTGTGTAACTTTGTACTGAAAAAAAAACACCAGCACTGAAGATAATTTTTAATCAACTGTGTCTTAAGTACTGAATAAGTGAATATTTACTTTGTCAAAAAAACATCTTAGTGTTCAATGCTTTTCCACATTATCTTTAATATTTTAATACTTCAAAGATCTTGAACAACTTTAGAACACACATATTTCTGTTAAAGATCACTGATGATATTTCAGACAGTACTCTTTGCATGCCTAGGTGTGTGAGGGAGAGATAATCTGTGTAAATTTACAATTCAATATTCTCTTTGCATTCTAGTTACATGTATGGTAGAAAATGTAGCCAATATATCATAATGAAATTGGCAGAAAACATCACCAGTGGAAGGCACCTTACAAGCCACACCACTATCATCCCAAGTCCATATAGCAATGGCCCTGCTCCTCATTCTGTAATCCTCACTTTCATATTGGTTTTTATAGAATCCACAATTCTCTCTCTAAACTTCAATGAACTCTAAAAATTTTACAAGAGCTTAACATATATATATATATTCTATGGAACCTTAAAAATAACTAAATATTCTTTTCTGTCCTGACCATGCCTTGAACACTGAAATAATACACTGATACTAGAAATCTTTAATAGATATTAAGTTGATATGAAAATATAAAGAAAATGATAACTTCCACATTTTGTTAGCTATAAGATGATATAAATATCTATTTTAAAATGTAATGGTAGTTGACCCACAATTCCTGTTTCAGGTTAGGGAAGAAAAAAAATGGATACCAGCGAATACTTTAAAAAATGTACTAACTGACAGTTTTCACAATAGATAGAGGAATGCCTTTACTTTGGGTAATAAGATCATACAGTAAATGTATTTTGATTGTTAATGATGACCAGAAAGTATTATATAGTCACAAAGTCTGTGCTAATAAGTGTAGTAATGGATTCATTAATAAGGTAGTGCAATTAATATATTAACTGAGTAAGTAAGTTTTTATGTAAAATACACTTGGAAACCAAATTTGAAATTACTGTCACAGGTTTAAACAACTGTATACATACTTCTGGTGTTAATTATGGAAGTTTAAAACTGTTGTACACCTTTCTTCAAATGTTAGTCGTCTGGGTAAGTTGTAAATACATCATGCACTTATGGAAGTAAAGATAATTTAAAAAGGGTAAATTTGAAGACACTTGCTAATTTTAATACTTAGTTATTTATTTTGATGTAAATATATATACATGTGTGTGTATGTATATAACTAATAAAGAAATAGAAATGTTTAATGTTTTTGAAACCATGAGGCCAATCAATCTGAAATACAGCTGAACATCTAATATTGTGACCAAAAACAAAGGACCCCACTTAAATAAATTATTGAATTGTAAGCTATTGACATTGTCATAATTTAATGCAAAATTTTGAAATTGGTGGTAAAGTCGATAGTTTTAGATTTAATAGTATATATTCTAGTATCTTCAAATTGAAAGGCATCTTACCCAGCACGTGAGCCCAATAATCAGGTCAAGAAACTTCAACATATGCAGAATATTTGCTCCAAAAACTTACACTCATAATAGGTTTGTGGTTGATTTAAAGTTTACATGTGCAAATATATATTATTCATCAAATTTACACCAGTTAATGGAGTTTCTTTACATGCAGGACGTTCTATATGATGAGTTACATGCAACTTGAATGGCAGAACTATTATATATGGTAACTATGCAGGAAAGGGTACGTTGTGGCCTGAAGTAGCTATTAGTTAACTAACTATAGCGTTACGTACACTTGTACCCATTATTCTATTACAACACCAAAGACAGACAATAAATAAACACAAGCATGGAAGAAAATGGCCAAAGTTTCAACCAGTTAAGTGAAACGAGTCAGTTTGTTAAGTATTAACATAAAGAAGAACAAAAACTAGCAGGTAATATTGTCCCTGGGATTAGTATCCTCACTCCCGGAGTTTATGCCATTCAGCAATCTGCCTCCGCGGAGAGTGGCTGACCTCTGTCCAATGCTGCTGCGCTGCACCACCGGTTTTAGACCCTACTTCCAGCCTGCCAATAACTTCGTTCTTTGTGACCCGATCCCAGTCTAACACCAGGAATTCCAGACTGATATTTTCCAAGCCTTCGTTATAGGGCACTTCGAAGACGAAAGATTCGTTAAACACTGGTTGTACTGTTCGCTTCTTAACATGCGTCTTTTTCTTTGCAATCCTTTGGTTGTTGTATAAAAGGTAGATCTTCACGTAGGGATCTGTAGAAATAAAGAGGAAAGTGAATTAATAAAACAAAGCAAGATCTATACACTGTGATGTTGAAAAAGCATTGGATAGAAATAGATGTTTTAAAATAAGAATACATCTTCATTATTTCCTATGAAATAAATGACCAATGATTCTGTCATTTGAAGTTTTATAGCAAAGTGGTTTAAGGCGAAGTTATTTTACAGTTAAAACAAAACGAACAGCTTTCAAATCCAGGAGTGTTTTCTTTCTTCACCAAATGCCGCCCCCTCCCCACAGTGGCACAGCGGTATGTTTGCGGACTACTGCTAGAAACCGATAGCGCTTTGTGTAGCTTTGTGTTTAATAACAAACAACAAAAATCCTTCACCAGGTTTTTTTTTATTATTATTATTAAATTTGTGTCTAGTTTATTTCTTTATCAAAAAATCTCCCTTCATAGAAGTAGGAAGCTAAGAAATGTCATTCCTGGGGTAATCCTACCAATAAACCACCTATTACCTATTCGATGACGAGGAACCTTTGAGACTAGTAATGGCTGGAGACGGCTTGAATGGGTAATGAAGAAAAACTTTAATATAAGTTTAACATAACAGCAAATGTACAACGTTTCGACAAGGTTTTGTCATCATCAG